CAACAGTTTAGAATATTAAGGACCCATATTACAGTGGTTTGGACATTGGTGTTCCATAAACTTGTAAAAATTTACCCTTAATCTCGTAGATTATAAGATTTAGGTTCTCATTTGCGCGTTTTTGCACTACGATTACAACTTTAAGGTTCTTTATAATCCATAATCTTGTAATGTTATAATTTACATTAGAAATGATTTATCTTACCATGTTAAGGTAATGGTGAATCTTGGAGAAGTAAATTTGGTCCTTATTATTGTAAACACAAGGGTTTACAATATTAAGGACCTTTTTTACATTGTTTTGTATGTCAATGTCCAGAATGTTGTAAAACTTGTAAACCTTGTATTTACAAGATTATGAATATACTTTACAAGTTTATGGAACGCTCAGGTTCAAAACAATATAAAAAGGGTCATTAATACTATAAACCCTTGTGTTTACAAAAATAAAGACCACATTTATACAACCAAGAACCAAGGCCTTAGGAGAAATTTGAACATGTTTCACATACTATGCAATTGCCAAACAGGCAATGATAATTGCATACTCTAATGTAATTGTCAAACAGGCTATGGTAATTGCATACTATAATGCAATTGCCGAACAGGCAATGGTAATTGCATATTGTCATGCAATTACCAAACAAGAGATGGTAATTGCATACCATAATGCAAGTGCAATTGAAAACATGCAATTAATGTCTCCTAGTTTGGGAATTGCTCATTATGTTGCCAATCTATCCTTTAACTCCTCCCATGTTATCTAAATCCCAAACAAACGGTAAATGACGATTTTGTCTTTCAAAGTTAGTGGGAAATTATAAGGCCCCGTTCGTTTATGTTTTGAGAGCCCATTTTCATTTTGAGAGAACAAAAACAGACAGAAAACTTGTTCGGTGGGCAAAAACAGAAAACACAGAGAACGTTTTATGAAAACAAAAACAATTTCACGTCTACTTGTAGAAAACAGAAAAAAGCTGTTTTCATTCTCACAAAAAACAACACTGAAAACACGTTGCTTCTCTCCCCATTATACCAAAACCACAGTCAAACACTGCCAACAGAGAATCACACGCAGTGCTTGAACCACCAACATCACCCAATGAAAATCACCACTGCCCCATCGAACCAGATTGTCACCGCCACTCAATCGAACCCAGAAAAATAAAAATAAAAATAATAAAAATAATCAAATATAATAATTCTATATTAATAATATAGAATTATAAATAAATATTAAATGAAAAATATATAAATATGTTATACCTTAATTTACAAAGCAAATGACCCATAGTACAATGCTAAAGTAGAAGTAGACATTGAAGAAGTAAAATTGGGTCCTCAGGCTTGTAAACACAAGAGTTTACATCATTAAGGACTACTATTACACTATCATGGACATATGCATTCCATAAGCTTGTAAATCATATCCTTAAGTTTGTACATTACAATCTTTGGTTTCACATTTAAGAGACTTTGCACCTTTGTTACAACGTTAAGGTGAATCCTACTCCATAACATTGTAATACTCATTTACAAAGAAAATGATCCCCTTACAACATTAAGGTAAACTTTTTGTTAAAAGTGTTGTTGGTACAAATTCCCGCATAATCATTAAACTCAGCACCTCTTCGAAACTGATTCTTGCATAATCAGAAAATGAAAGCACCTCATTAGCTTATTTCCCTTATAACTTTCTCTCAAAGCAATTTTTAACAATAAATAATTTTCTCATAGTTTACAAAATGGGCTGGACTTCCTAAAATTTTTTAAAAATCACTTATTACCCCAAATTAACAATGTCAAACAAGCACTTAATTTCTAAGAGCATCTACTAATAGAAACTAGATTATGGTGATTCTTGTGAAATTGTTTGGCTTGCCACATTATGTACAAGTCTGTTTAAGGATTGCAGATTTTAGAGCATCTCCAATGAAATTAGTACATCACGTAGCAATGTTGATTTGATATGCCACAGAGAACAAAAGCCCCTCAAATGGAAGTAGCAAATTTAAAACGCAGTAATTTATATATAGGATTATTTACTCAAGTGATTCTCAAACTTATACCCAAGTTGTATTTTGATCCCTCAATTAAATTATTTATTCAAATGGTCCACCAACTCTTTATTATTCGGTGAATTGGTCCACCGTTATATTTGATGTGAGTTTTAATCATGTGAACGTGAGGGGAATATGAAGGGTAAATGCGACTTTTTCATAGTGGAGTTTTTGTTTCCCTTTTTCTTCTTCTTCTTCATCCCTCCTTGTACAACCAAATGATAGCGGTGTCAAAAGACAACCAATTGGCCCAGGAGAGATGACAGCTATGATGGCTTTGTTCAGACATGACTTCTTTGACTTTGATGGCCAAGGTGGCAGCACGAGTTGAGCTCCATGACAAGTTACAATGGTGGAGCCGGCTTGTTGCACCGCTAAATCATAAGAAATAAGGGCAGAGGATTGAGGGAGAAGGCACATGGGTGCCTTGATCAATTTATGGTATTGGATTCCTCTTGCTGGAGTTGCAAAAAAGAAAAAAGAAAAAAGTAATTTCTTTTTTGTTGCTTAGTAGGATAGATGCGGGATGATATGAGGGGATATTTCTTGTTTTTATTTATCACTTGTTTTTATTTTTATTTTTATTTATATATGTTCATCATTAAGAGAATGAAGAAATTTATATTTTCTCCATGATGAGAGAAGAGAAGAAGGCAGAGCCACCCCCACCACCAGCCCCAACCCACACCCACTGCCCACCCCAAGATAGGGAGGGAGAGAGAAGTATTATATTGGGTTACCTCAAGATTGTCTCTTACGTGAATGGAACCCAGGTGCTCTTGAGGAGGGAAGGGGAGAGTTTGACCCACTTTTCCACTGTGGTGTCATGTCATGTGCACATGTGAGTTACCTATAACAAATTAAGTCCCACAACATATTTTAATCAAAAGTATTGTCTATTTATTCATCCTAACATATTTGAAGGATGGGTTGAAGGGTGGATTGGAGGGACAAAGTTTTGAAGTGGCAAGTTTTAGTATAAAGGTGCCACGTATTTTTTTTTTGGTCAATAAAGGCGCCACATATAGGTTAACAAATGACCCTTTCAAAGAAAAAATTTGCTATTTTCATTGGAGATGTTCTGAGCATCACCAAGGGTATGGGCAATGTATGCAAATAATGTTTGATGTGCCAAAGGAGTAAGCAAAATATACATTTTGTTGTACCAACAGGCCCAATAGGGGTCCATTCTCGATCCCAACTATGCACAGATATTGTCTTTACCTTAACCACATAGAAGAGAGAAGGCCCAATGAACCTCTAGGTGTGAGGTTTTTAACTTAAAAGACCTCGATACAATAAGGAGTGGAGCACCTATATTTAAATTGTAGATTATTGTTATATTCTCCAATGTAGGACTTACACATAATAGTTTGTATCGAGCCACCTGCACCAACGCATACTTTCCCCAATATGCAATGTTGCCTATTTTAAAATGAATATGTATACTGGGCTCCACTTACTTTTTATAATACAATATCATCTCACATCTCTCACCTAAAAATAAAAATAATAATAAATATTAAAAAAAAGGACAAAAATAATTAATATAATAACAATTTATACAATTCCCACATATATAGTTTGTTCCTTCAAAAGTGTTGCCACATAAAATAATAGTTTCTTTCTTCAATATGCAACATAGGTTGTTATAGAACAATTTTGTCTACTTCATTTGGATATTCCCTTGAAGATGCTCAAAACAAAGCAAAAGTTCTTTTAGGATTATGTCCTAAAGGGAGTTGGGTGTTTAAGTTAGTTTCAGTTTGAGAAATGAGTTGTAGTTTTTAAATTTCTTGAATTGCATTATCTTTCATGTTGTTTCACATATTTGTACAATCTCAAATAATTTTTATTTTTTTCTTTATACAAACGATAATAAGGGAGGATGATTCGAACACAAGACTTGGTTCCTTGCATAAAGAGCCGGTTTTTCCACACAGATAAATCACATTCTAACAACCGTGCATCCAATTTTTTTATGTATTTTTAACAAGCCATTTTCAGTATGAGTGGTGTATTTTTCACCACCACTATTTGTATTATATAAGGGAAAATTTGTAGTAAAAAAATTATTAAAATAAGTAAAGAGAAATTGGAATGATGTTAGAAATAGTGCTACTTATCAATATAGGTGCTAATTTATGATTTGTATAGAAGGAGGAATGACTCATATTTTATGAATGCAAACAATATTCTCATTTGGTACTTAGGATTGAACTGTATTGAACAACTTAGACATGTTGAAGAAAGAAATGAAGGAGTGTTGTCCAAGTTGAAGGTAGAAAGATGGATTATTTAAGAAGAAAATTTCATCCAATCCCCCAGAATGGTAAGATGTCAACACCTTATAACTTATCCTTTCTAATCTCCCCAAAATGATAAAAAAATGAATGATAAAATCATTCACCTCTACATTCATTTCCTCTATAAAATACTTTGAATCTAGTGATTTATATCCAAGTCGCCAGACGAGCTCAAGTGCATTTTTTTTTTTTTTTTTTTTTTTTTTTTTTTCTCTTTCCAAAAAAAAAAACTCATAATCAATAAAAATAACATAAATGTTCTACATAGAAAAATAAATGTTGAAAAAAAAAGAAAAAAAAATATTCATGATGAGATAATCATATGAGAAACCGTACCGTGCAGCCAACTCATCAAAAACGCAACGCACCATTGCAACAGAGATGGACCGAAACCCTTGATTCCCTTCTGTCCTAGTCCCCTTCATCATATCTACGTGATTCCCAAACTCAAAACCACAGCCGTCTGATCGCCCATCCCAAAATTTCAAAACACCGCGCCCAAAACCCCTCCATTTGAATTCAAATCCCTATTGACCGTTGCACCCTTCCTTTAAATCCCTAACCCCCCTCTCTCACTCACCCATTTCCTCTCTCTCGAACCTTCCGTCTCTCCTTCTCTCCAAACGCCACAGCCATGGCGATCGAGAAGAAGCGCCCACTCCAAACCAGCAACAGCGCGAACATAGCCCCAGCCCCAACTGATGGCCAAGGCAAGACGATCGAAGAGATGTACCAGAAGAAGAGCCAGCTCGAGCACATCTTGCTTCGACCCGACACGTACATCGGGTCGATCGAGAAGCACACCCAAATCCTATGGGTCTATCAAAACGACGAGATGGTTAACCGTTCCATCAGCTACGTTCCCGGACTGTACAAGATCTTCGATGAGATCCTCGTCAACGCCGCCGATAATAAACAGCGAGACTCGTCCATGGACGCCGTGAAAGTCACCATTGACGTCGAGCAGAACTGTATAAGCGTCTACAATAATGGGGCTGGAGTGCCCGTGGAGATTCACCAGGAGGAGAAGGTGTATGTGCCGGAGTTGATCTTCGGACACCTATTGACCAGTAGCAATTACGACGATACAGAGAAGAAGACTACCGGTGGTCGCAACGGCTATGGTGCCAAGCTTACGAACATTTTCTCCACTGAGTTCATCATCGAGACTGCTGACGGAAAGCGACAGAAGAAGTACAAGCAGGTATTGATATGTGTTTTCTAGAAGTTTTGTGATGCTTGATTCGTATTGTAGGATTTTAATGTATGGTGGAATTGAGGAATTAGGGTTTGTTATTGCTGTTTTTATATATTGGGATTCTGATTAATTAAGGTTCGTTTTTTATATGCATTTTCGTTTTTGTAACTTGTGATTTATTCGGGATTCTTCATGGTTTTTGTTAAAATGATGGATCCTGACTAGGTAGGTTTCCGATTGATTCGGATCTGGGCTTTCAATTCTTGTGGAGTAGTATCAGATGCTTTTAGGTTTTTTTTCATTTTCAGTTTGAAGCCTACTGTGCTTGGATTAGACCTGGTATAGGATCTTGAATTTAGTATCCAATTGTGATTCTGGTTTTATTCTTTATCTTTTGAAAATTATGTGAGTGTGTATTGTTTATGGGTTGCACGTAATTCTTGATTTGACTGTATTTTAGTATTAGTGTGCTACTGTAGTAGTTTTGTGTTAATCGTTTAGGGGTTTGCTTGATAACATTGATGTGGACATGAACGGAGAACTTTACTTTTGGCATACAAAAGACCATCATATGGTGTTAGCCTAATTTTGTTTATAGGAGGACCCTCCAGGAAAATAATCTCCTTCTTTTCATCATGGGATCCCTTTGATTGATGAGATTATATGAATAGTAAAGAAAAACAAAATGTTCAAATGTTAGGATTTTACTTTTTATGGGTTTGAAATGGTGAACACCAACTTCCAAAGTATATTTATGAGTTTTATTCAATTGGCAGAGATATCATGCTCATTTATGTCACTTGAATAATCTGGTTCTTGCTGATTTCAGGTGTTCACTAACAACATGGGGAAGAAAACTGAGCCAGTCATCACCAAGTGCAAAGAGAGTGAGAACTGGACCCGGGTTACATATAAGCCTGACCTATCGAAGTTTAACATGACCCATCTGGAAGATGACGTGGTTGCATTGATGAAAAAGAGAGTGATTGACTTGGCTGGATGCCTTGGAAAGACTGTGAAGGTTGAGCTGAATGGAAAGAGGGTCCCTGTAAAGTCATTTCTTGATTATGTTGACCTCTACTTACAATCTGCCTGTAAATCTAGAGATACTCCCCTTCCAAGGTTCTTGTTATGAAGTTATTGGTTCTGAATCTTTCATTCTTTTTTCTTCTTCTTTATAATAGGAATTTTCTCACTATGTCTACTCATTTGACAGGATGACAGAGAAAGTTAATGATAGGTGGGAGATTTGTGTTAGTCTCAGTGACGGGCAGTTTCAACAGGTTTTAACCAAAAAAAAAATTGATATAGAGAAATTACTAAGTTTTGTACTCATGGAATTGGGAGACTCATGTTGTCGGATTTCTTTTTACCAGGTCAGCTTTGTGAATGGAATTGCAACAATCAAGGGTGGAACTCATGTTGATTACGTCACAAATCAAATCACGAATCATGTGATGAATATTGTGAATAAGAAGAACAAGAATGCCAACCTCAAAGCCCATAATGTGAAGAATTATCTATGGGTCTTTGTCAATGCTCTTATTGACAACCCTGCATTTGATTCCCAAACAAAGGAAACTTTGACGATTCGCCCAAATAGTTTTGGATCTAAATGTGAACTTACACCAGCGTTCTTAACTAAAGGTATGTAACACTAGTTCAATTGTTCAAGTAGACAACTAGACTGAAATACTCAAACTTGATTTTCATGTACTAATTATTTTGCAGTGGCAAAGTCTGGAATTGTGGATAGTCTTCTCTCTTGGGCAAATTTTAAGCAGAACAAAGACCTGAAGAAAACTGATGGGACAAAAACAGAGAGGGTTCATAATATCAACAAGCTTGAGGATGCTAACTTAGCTGGAGGGAAGAACTCTGAAAAGTGTACTTTGATTTTGACAGAAGGGGATTCAGCTAAGGCTCTTGCAGTAAGTTTTCATATTTTACAAATTCGGTACATTCATTTCACTTGTTTTGTCTACAATAGATTAACATACCTTATCCTACACAGATGGCAGGGCTTGCTGTCGTAGGTAGGGATCATTACGGTGTTTTCCCATTGAGAGGTAAACTGCTTAATGTAAGAGAAGCTAGTGCCACTCAGGTCAGGGATAATGAGGAAATTAAGAATATCAAGAGGATTCTTGGACTGCAGCAAGATAAAGAGTATACCAGTCTTAAGTCCTTGAGATATGGTAGCCTGATGATTATGACTGATCAGGTTGAATGCCTCAAGCTTCTATTTCTTTTGGTTTTATTCTTGTTTGAAATTGTCTATGAAACCTTAACAGCATTTCTTTCTCTTTCTGATCACTAAGAGAAGTTTAATGTTTGTATAGGATCATGATGGTTCCCACATCAAAGGACTTCTGATCAACTTCATTCATTCCTTCTGGCCATCACTGCTTAAAATTCCATCTTTTTTGGTTGAGTTTATAACTCCGATTGTTAAGGTTGGCTTACTTGATTTAGCTAGTTTGCTTAGCAAATTCAACATACGTAGAAGGTTGTTCTTGAAAGACAACTATAACTTATATTATTTCTCTACAGGCAACTCACAAAAATGGGAGATCACTTGCATTTTACTCCATGCCTGAGTATGAGGCATGGAAGGAAAGTTTGAGGGGCAATGCAAGTGGCTGGTCCATAAAGTATTATAAGGTTTGTATTCACTTTAAGTGAAATATTCTTAATTCTTATACTTGCAGAAATTGTACCATCTTTTTATATGGTCCGTGAAGTGTTACTGAAATTGTACCATTTTTATGTTCTTATTCTTCTACTTACATTTATATCCTTTTAGGGGCTGGGAACAAGCACGTCTAAAGAAGGGAGGGACTATTTTCAAAATCTTGCCATGCACAAGAAAGATTTTATTTGGATAGATGAGCGTGATGGGGAGGCAATTGAGCTTGCTTTCAGTAAGAAGAAAATAGAAGAGAGGAAGAACTGGCTTCGGCAGTTCGAGGTGGGAAGTTTTGGCAATTTACATTAACATTTGTATTTTGGAAATTATTCTATGGAAACTCTTAACTCTTTGTATTTGCAGCCTTCTGTACATCTTGATCAGAAGGAGAAGCTTATAAAGTACAGTGACTTTGTTCACAAAGAGCTTATACAGTTTTCCATGGCCGATCTGCAAAGGTCAATTCCGTCAATGGTTGATGGCTTGAAGCCAGGTCAAAGGAAGATTCTGTTCTGCTCCTTTAAGAGGAACTTTGTGAAGGAAGCAAAAGTTGCCCAGTTTTCTGGTTATGTGTCTGAGCATTCTGCCTACCACCATGGTGAGCAGAGTCTTGCAAGTACTATCATTGGAATGGCACAGGATTATGTGGGCAGCAATAATATCAATCTTCTTCAACCAAATGGTCAATTTGGTACCCGTAACTTGGTGAGATTAACCATGCATGTCAATTATTTAAGAATATTGAAGCTTGTCATGTTGCGTAACTGTATTCCAAGATATTTTTATTTACATTTGTATTTTGCTACCTTAGGGAGGCAAAGACCATGCAAGTGCTCGTTATATATATACTCGGCTTTCTCCTATTACAAGATTCCTTTTCCCGAAGGATGATGACAGACTTCTTGACTACTTGAATGAAGATGGGCAATCTATTGAGCCAACTTGGTATTTATAATTTTTCCTGTCTCTACAGTAAGAACACTGCATTTAGATTGATGGTGGATAAATATAACTGACATATGGCTTTTGTTTTATAGGTATGTTCCAATTATACCAACAGTTTTAGTTAATGGTAGTGAAGGAATTGGGACGGGGTGGAGCTCTTACATTCCTAATTATAATCCAAGAGACATTGTTGCAAATGTAAGGCGCTTGCTTAATGGTGAAGCAATGGTGCCAATGGATCCCTGGTACAGAGGATTTGCTGGAACTATTGAGAAAACTGTCAAGGAATCAGGTGTAAGCTACACCGTATGTGGGGTCATAGAGGAGGGCAATGAGACAACAGTTAGGATTTCGGAGTTGCCAATCCGTAGGTGGACTCAAGATTATAAGGAATTCCTTGAGTCTATCTCACAAGGAAATGACAAGGCCAAGGATCCATTCATTGAGGTAAGGTCACCTAAAACTCTTGACAGTTGCAATATTCATCAACATCATGTGCTTCAGATCATTTTCAGTTTCTAAGTGCATTATGCATGCTGCAGGGTTTCACACAGCACAGTGATCACAGTACTGTAGATATCATAGTCCACTTACCTGAAGAGAACCTAATGGCTGCCAGGCAAGAGGGTTTGCTGAAGAAATTTAAACTGACCACCAGCATTAGCACAAGTAATATGCACCTGTTTGATCCAAAAGGCGTGATAAAGAAATACGACACTCCAGAACAAAGTATGTGACACCATTCGAGGTTGTTTGATTAATTATTTGTTGTACAATTCATATAACTGGACTTTCTGTTTGTTTATTTTCTTCTTTCTGCAGTTCTTGAGGAGTTTTTTCACCTAAGACTTGAATTCTATGAGAAAAGAAAGGTGAGTTCATCAGTAGACAAATGTTTGTATTGTTGACCTGGATATGGATACAACTGTTAACTGATTTTCTATTATATATGCAGAAAGTACTATTGGATAACCTTGAGATGGAGTTGTTAAAATTGGAAAACAAGGTCAGGTTTATCCTGGCTGTTGTAAATGGAGAGATCATTGTGAGCAATAGAAGGAGGGCTGATTTATTCCTTGAGCTCCAACAGAAAGGTTTCACTCCCTTTCCAAAGAAGACCAAGGCCCAAGAGCCAGAAGTTGCTGGGGCAATTGAAGACACAGAAGAAACGGAAGAGAACTCTGAGTCTGCCAGTGGAAATGGAGCACGTATTAGTGATTATGAGTATCTCATATCCATGGCAATTGGGACCTTAACCATTGAGAGGGTTCAGGCCCTATGTGCTGATAGGGATAAGGTCAACAACGAGGTTGCTGAGTTGAGAAATTCAACACCAAGGTCACTGTGGTTGAAGGATCTTGATGCTCTTGAAATGGAACTTGGTGTATGTATTAAAAATTAATTTTGTTTCACCATTCTTTATTCGCTATGCTTTATACCTTTCTCATGTATGATGTATTATTATTTCTATCAGGAGCTGGAGAAAAGTGAGGCTCTGGCAGAGGAGGCAAAAAAGAAATCACGAAACCAAGTGAAAAATGCACCTGCTGCTAAGGTTTCTAAACCAGCACCTAAAAACCCACGCAAGAATAATAAGAAGGCCAACAATGCAGAAGCTGCTGCTGAAAGCAGGGAAACATCTTCCAGTTTTGTGTTTGAAATGGGTAAGCCTAGATTAGTTAAAAGCTTTCGTTTAAAAATATCCCACAGACATTAGTTTGTCTTTGAATTTTTGGTTTATGTACTCTTTAACTAATATGATCTGCTTGCTTTGTCAGAGAAAGCTCCTGAGATAGTGAAACGGAAAGTTGGAGCAGTTGCAAAGAAAGCTCCTGCTGGCAAGAAGGTTTGCGCTGCTGCTTTATTTCTAATTGTTTTGTTTTACCTTTTTAAAGGAATACCTATTACCTTTGAAAGCTGTAACTTATGTTATTCTGTTTGTTTAACAGCAGCAGGCAAAATCTGCTGTAGTTTTGAGTGATGATGATGATGAAGTGCTTGAGCTGAAAGACAGACTAGCTGCCTATAATCTTGATTCATCTCCCGAAAATTCAGCAGGTACGCGCTATATTTATACTTCTTTGTGTATTCTAACTTTGTTTTACGTTCCTAGAGACTGCTGCTAGATAACATTTATGATTTATCAATCAGAGGCCATGTCTGGATTAAAAGAGAATGGAGCATGCAGTATGCTTGGGAATTTAATTATGCGCTTATCTAATGAACATTAGTTTTTCTTTTCCTTTTTTCTCAGTAATTGGAAAAAAAAAACTAGGATTAATTTGCAATGTTCATTTAAAAAGAAGCATGAATAATGAGTTTCATGGTTCCTTTTACAAGCTTTTCCAGCTAATCAGTAAGTAGTGAATTAACTTAGTTTTACTGCCACAGGCAAGGAAACCGAAGTGCCACAAGAACCAGTCCAGAGAAAAGAACCTAGCAAAAGGGCCATGCAAATAGATGATGACGAGGATTTTGAGGTAGAAATAGCAGCTGCCCCAGCAGCAGGAAAGAAGGGAGGGAGAAAAGCAGCTGGAACTACAAAGGCATCAAAACCCCCTGCAGCGGCAAAGAAGAGAGGCGCAGCTAACAAGCAATCTCAAGCCTCATCATCATCAGGCCAGAAGCTTTTAACTGACATGTTAAAGCCTGCTGAAACTTCCGGGATTTCACCGGAGCCGAAAGTAAGGAAGATGAGGGCATCCCCATTCAACAAGAAAAGTGGTTCCGTGATGGGGAGAGGTAGTTTGGAGGTTGAGATGGTTGAAAGTGAAGAGAAGGTAGACACTCCATCCACTGAAGAAAGAAGTGACGCTCCAGTGGCGGCAAGAGCTAGACCTCAGAGGGCAAACCGCAGGCAGACAAGGTATGTGTTGAGTGACTCGGAGAGTGAGAAGGAGGTCAGTGAGGATTCTGATTTTGATGCAAGTGAAGAGGACTAGGACTAGTTTTTTGTTGTTCATGGTAGATGCTAAAAATTGAGTGTGCAAAAGAAGCTTGCTGTGGGAATTCTAGCTCATTATTCCCCTTGTATTTTAAATTGTTGTTTTTCTGATTTTATTATCATGCTGATAAGCTAAGTTTTAATATTTTACTATCAAGTTTGATTTGTGTTGTAAATCTCTTGAAGATCTAGCTTGATTTGTGTTAGTTTAGCAAATTGAACTGTGAATGAGTCACCAAGATTGAGGAGTTTATTATCATGCTGATAAACCAAGTTTGAAGATTTCACTTTCAAGTTTGGTATGTATTGGTCTCGTTTTGATGTGGCAAGTACCAATTGGATGTTGAGATCATCAAGTTTTGCATGCGAAGAACTTGCATGTTATAGGGATAAACACAATTTTGCTATCCCCAACTAATCACGCTGTCAGTGGAAAAGTTATCACATGTGATGGAACATGATTAGTTGGAGATAGTAAAATAGTGTTATTTCGTAATATATAAGTTTTTCTCACGTTTGTAGTAGCTGATGCGTACAAAAGTTTTCTCCAGTTATTGGACTTTGATTAAGTTCCCTACTGCAAGGCACAATCTTTAGAGCCTTGTCAAGAAAGAAAGCATTTGACAAGCTTTTGCTTTTCTTTTTGTTGATTTGAATCAATAAAAACTTACCATAGGCGAAGAAGTCATTTTCTATGTACTGTCGATGACCAGATTAAAGTGTTTATAGGCCTGCTTTTGTCTAGTTTCTCAACTCTTTTCATTCTGAAAACCGTAAAAGCAAGTGGTACCCATACCCAACGACTTTTCGGACGCTTGGCTATTGGTTGTTTTTGGAACCCAACGACTTTGAACAGGAGCTGGTGTATGATGTGTGGTTTCCACCCAGTTTTAAGGGCCGAAATACCATTTTGGTCGATATGCTTTGTCAAATTGTTACTTCGGCCTTTTGTGTTTTGTATTTGGACAATTTGTTTCTTGCGTTTTATTGAGAAATAGACCGAGAATGCGTTTTATAATGAGCCACATTGGTAACAACACGTAATTGTGTAACGATCGCATAAAAAATCTCAACATGTCAATTTTATGGCATTATATTAATAAACGAACACACATATTATAACACGAGTGTATTGGAAACACCAAATGAAGGTATTGTTACACCGGAAGTTTCTCAATTTTGCCTAATTAAACGTTAATCGACTTCGATGTGACAGCCTCTAATATATGCTATGTGCTCACATTAATGCCCAAATTACACACAAAAAGACATCAAACCAAAATAACTAGATTAAAAATCCAAACAAAACAACGGAATTAGAAGGACGTTCAACCCAACTTTTATTGATTAAAGAAAATGGATTTAAACCTAGAGAGGAAAAGGAAAAGGGGTCATATGGTTTGGCGCTTTGTTAGGGTCTTGGGCTACGATTTGAACCGTTTAATGGGCTCCTGACGTCTCTCTCTGTATCTCTTCCCAAAGTTTTATAGTGATTCGGCTCTCCTTTATTTTCGGGCATCGAATCAAATAAATAACGGTTTATTCCAATCAATAAAACAATTTGATTGCTTAAAAAAAGGAACGGCTCTTGTTTGTTTTTGGGTTTTTTAAGTTTTACGTAGCTGCACACAAGAATATTAAACATGGCCCGAGCCGCCTTCAACTATTTCAGCTAATACAAAATATCATACAACCCTGTTGCATGTTGACATTATGAGTCTACAGAATCATTTTTAAAACAATTTTTCATTACATATTAATTTCTTTTGCTTGATGTGACGTAAATAATTAATATAAAAAACGAAGGTATTTGATTACAGATTTTAACGTTGAAAGATTACAAATGTGTTCTAATTTTTTTATGTGTTAGTAATATAAGGGATACCACGAATTGAAATCATTAAACTACCCATGTGTTAACCGATATACAGTTAGTAGATACACAAGAAGAATAATTGGAATAATATTCAACTACTCATTCATGACAAGTAAACATTCTAGAGTAAATAAAGTTTCGAAATCTCATATTTACTTTATATATTACTATTATTAGCAGTGTTTTGAATGTGATTGAAGAATGATACCAACAATGACGAAATTTTTCTTCCATGTGTTTGTGATTCTATGATTTGTGAAGTGAATAGGTGAATTATTAAAAAGGAAATGACCCATCCTTCTAAAATAAGGTCGTTCTTTTGCCATATTCGTCACAAGTTGATGTGACTTTAGGCCATTATGTTATAGCGTCCCCATCTCAAGCATCTAAAATAAGTCACATCATACGTAGGTTATTTTTTATTCAAACTATTGTCGCACTACAAAACAAACCCAAACTTAAGGGACACCGCTCTCGTTTCTTCTCGACTCTTCTTCTCCTCCCAACCCAGCCAACACAGTTCTGCATTTCTCCTTGGTTCCAGGGGATCTCCCCTAGAACCACCACCTTCGGTTAATAATCTGGGCCTCTCTCCTTCCCATTATGTTGTGGAGAGGTTTTACCTCCCAACTTTTTTTGAGTTTTGTCTGCTCCTTGCTATTACAAGGGTTTGCTTCTTCCCTATTTTCTTGAGGGTTTGTTTCCCAGTCTTTTGGGGCTGATTTTTGACTGATCTTGCTAGATCTGCTACTTGTGTGGTAGATCTAGTGTCGATCTCTCTGTTTTGGAGGTGGAGCAGCTGATTTTGGTGGATCTACTTTTATTGTGCTTGGGGATCAAGGAGGATTAGGAGATGTTGCGATATTCTTTGGAATATCCTGATGGAAGTTGAGCGGTAATGCCCTCCACTCTTGGGGTATTTCGTGTCCCATGAAGTTTGAGAGTTTGTTCTTTGTCTTGATCTCTCTTAAGCACTGGTTGCTGCAGAAATAGGATTCTCATCATCTGTAACTCCTTGTTAGCTGGGTTTAAAGTTGTATATTTGTTTTCTAACTATCTTGTAATACTTGAGCTTAGTTGGTGTTATTGTTACAATATGTATTGCAAGAACCTCCTTCCAAGGCTGTGTTCTTAATGTTGTAATCTGGGTTTGTGCCTTGTTTCTTCAATTGAATTGCTACTGTTTCACACAAAAAACAAAAAAAAACAAACAAAAAAACCGAAACTTGTTGATCTTGTAGTATTCAACATTCATAGTATTTTCGATATTCTTAACAAATTATTGAGATTAAACAGAACAAATTGTTTTTCTTCAAAGTGTGTTGATCTAATTAATATGCTTACTTTACCAAATTTATAGTACATTAATATGAATATTTTATTACCAAGGGATCTGCCTAATGAAGACAATGAAAAATTTAAAGAGTTATTTGCACTAACACCCTTTGAGGTTTCTTCTGTTTTCACAAAACCCCCTAAGGTCCCAAAAATTATATGAACATCCACTGAGGTTTCAGTTTGTTTTCACAAAACCCATTTTTTGTTGATTATTTGTCCAAAAATTTATGATTTCATTAAAAAAAAACTTATGCAAATGACAACATTAACCTCAATGAAGTACATGCAATCTAATCTCAAAAGCCAACTTTGTCATTTGGAGAATTTTTTTTGTATAAAATCATCAATCTTTGGGTGAGAAATCAATGAAAAGGAGTTTTGTGATAAAGTAATAGATAATTGACTAAATAAATATCCTCCAAAGTTTCAAGAAAATTTTTCAAGTTTTTCTTACACTTTTCATGGTTTTTTATTTAATTTATTGATATCGATAATTTCCCATTATTTCCATTGAGATTTTCGTATTTTTGAACCACCGATATTTCCGAAACCATCGATATTTTAGACCTTGCTCACCACCATGACATCTTAGTTGTGTGTGTTGGAAATCCCCATTTTCTTTAATTTAGACTATCGTTTGTATTAAAAAACATATTGCAATGTCAACATTTATTGATGTACGTGGAGGAAAAGTTTTAATGTTGATTTTTAATTTAGTAATAAAACTTTTATTTTATAATACAAACTCTAGTTTAAATTATGCCCCGTTTGGTTCGCGGAATGAATTTGAGGGGAAATCATTTCCCATGTCATTTCCCAAGGAATTAGAATAAAAGATTCCTTTTCCACGTTTTGTAATGTCGGGAAAGTAACTGGGAGATTTCACTTTGTTGCCTTTCCCATGTTTGTTTTGAGTAGGAATGGAAAACAAAGTTTGTATAATTTTCCAAGAGTTTTTCTATTTAAACCCTGCATTTCTCTTTGTTCACCCAAACTTCTAATTCAAATTTTCACAATTTCTAAGAAACCCCCACTAACTTTCCAAACTACCCCTAAATACACACCCAGTATAAAAAATAAAAAATAAAAAACTCATCAACCTCACAGCCTACACCCCCCACACCCCGCTATCTTGCCATTCACCATAGTTCAAATGGTTAGAAGCAATTATCCATCGAGGTCCTATATTCGAATCTCCCATTCCTCAATATTGCTTGTAAAAAACATAGACAAAAAGTAAATAAATAAATTTTTTAAAAATTGTTGAGTTCAAAACCATGTTAACCAGTAATCACAATGTTGTCAGCGAATAATACAGACCAAAGTATAACTTGGGTGCAAATTACAATCAACCATCCCTCTGTCATGTACCAATATTATAAAAGAAGGGAAACACACACAATTTGAATAGAGCATCCTCTCCTTTGGTATGAGAGAAACTTTGCATTGCACCTAACACATTGCAAGAAGAAGATTACAAAGACACAACCCCGCAACTTCTCCACCTTTGTGTGCCATGTTCTTCAGTCACAGCAAGGCCCATGTCTTCCAACCCAAAACCTACAAACCAAAAGGCGGCATTAGTTAACCTTTTACAACTACGCTATTTAATGGCTGATCATAATGTGGTCTCTTACAATGCAATGATTGAAGGTTACTGAAGACAAGATAATTAAGATGTTTGAAGTGCTGGATCTTTTCAATGAGATGAAGCTTAGATTGCTTCACCCGAGTCTCTTGACATTTGTCAACCTTCTTGGTGTTTCAGCAGATTTATTTACCTTGCAATTGAGCAAGCAAATTCATGGTCTGGTCACCAAATATGGGTACTGTTGGGACATAATTGTTGGCAATGCTCTTATAGATGTTTATTCTAAGTGTGTGGGGGTGTGTATAGATGTACTAAGGTTAAGTATTAAGTTGAATTACTTTTTTTGTCTTTTTACATAATAACAAAACTAAAGATCTTAATGACTTAATTGTTGGAGTGAACAAAGAAATGTGGGGTTTAAATAGAAAAACTCTTTTCCAATTATACCCATATTAAATCAAATAAAAAAGAATACATTTAATAATACGTTGTAATTATAAATTTTTCATAGGGATAAAATAGTCATGAAAATTGTGCATTGAATGTTGGCTCATTTTCCTAAACTTTCCCATGAGAAGGGAAAACAAAACCCAAGTTAAGAGAAGAGTTTCACTTTCCCCCTACTTTCCCATGTGCTAGGCAATCATTTCCCATGCCTGAACTTACTAAACATGAGAAAACAATTAAATTCCTATTCCCAAGCCTCATTTCCCATGAACCAAACGGGACCTTAGAAAAATTCAAACATGTATACAAGTACACCGACTCATTAATCTGACCAACTAATCTAACTACGTCTGCTATTAATAAAAGTGTTATTACTATGTACCAATGTGCCCTAGTTTTTAATCTACGCAGCTTTCTACTTTGTGCATTCAAACAAAAGTACACCTCTCCCTTGTTCTGCCAACAAAACGACTCACGCTTGAATGCGTTTTCCACGCACTTTGCGTATCCAACTCACTCTCTCTCTCTCTCTCTCTGGCTTTCTCTCTCCTCAGTAGTTAAAACTGCGTTGACTCGAACATTACCAAACTTTGAATCCAACACACCGAAACTGAAACACCAACACCACCACCACCACCATTTTCCCAAATTTACCCCTCCCCTCTTTCCCCTACCTTCCTCCGCCGGTCTCTCTGCAACACCCTAGCTCACTTTCGAACAGCTCCCGTGGCAATACCCGTAAATTCGACATGTCCTCGGGGCAAAATTCCACGCCCCTTTAGCTCATGTAACATATTCTAGCTCTTTATTTATTTTTTTTCTAGATTTGTTTTTCTGTTTCTTTAATTTGGGGGAGAAATGAAGAGACTGAGATCCAGTGACGATCTCGATTCGTATGGAAAGGATCCGAATCCGAACCCCAACCCGAACCCCAGCCGGACCTCCTCTTCTACCTCGCACAGAAGCTTCTACTACAAACCAGACACTGTACGCAAGGGTTTGCTCTCTTCCTCCTCGTCGGCGTCTTCTCTGGCGCCGGCTCGCTCCTACGATGATCGGGACTCGGCCGGCGCCGGCGGCGGGTCCAGGACCGCCCGGAAGAGGCCGGAGCAAGAGTTCGACGGGTTCGACCGGAGAAAAGGGCTGGATCGGTATAATAGAGATGGCGGAGGGTACGATCGTAGCTCGATGCACAGGTCGGAGAGCTTCTCCGTGTCCAGGCGGTCGCCGGCGGAGTTTCCGAAAGGTTTTCGATCGGAGCGGGACCGGCCGAGGCGCGAAGGAAGCGGAGCGTTGTCGTGGCGGAGGTTTGGGAAGGAGTTTGAGGAGAGAGGAGGGAAGGGGTTGAGGGATGTGAGGTCGCCGACGTGGTCGAATTCGAGAGATTCGGGGAGCGAACAGTCTAGGGTTAGGTCTCCGGTGAGGAGATTTAGGGATGGAAAGGGGTCGAAATCGGAGTCGAAGTCCAAGTCACCGACTTGGTCCAAGGACTCGGTGGGGAGTGAGCAGTCGAAGAGTGTTGAGGTGAGGAAGAGAGAGACGGAGGAGGTTCAGGTTGAGAGTGGGAGTAGGGCTAGTAGTGAAATGGAGGAAGGTGAGCTTGAGCCTGAAGCTGAAGCTCAAGCTGTAGCTGGAGCTGGAGCTGAAGGAGGTGAAGGTGAAGGTGAAGGTGAAGCCCAATTGGGTCCTGAAGGTGGAGCTGAAATGGAAGAAGCCCAGGATCGAACTGGGTCCGATACGGATACCAATAAGGTTGAGGAGAAAGGTGAGCCTTTCTATGAAGACGAGGTGAGGGAGGAGAAAGATGAGTCTTTGGATGAGGAAGAGAATAGGGATGAGAAAGGCGAGTCTTTGGATGAAGAAGAGGTGAAAGATGTGAGTAAAGAGAATGTGTGTGAAAGGAAAGATGAGGAAAAGAAAGATGAGGGGTTGCCAAATAGTGAGAATGATATGATTGATGAAGCTGGGAATATGGAAGGTCATGAAGATAGGGATGGTGAAAAAGAGAGTTTCAGGGAAGGTAATGAGTGCAAGGAGGAAGTGAGCAAGGGCGTGGTTGTGGAGAGGTCGATGGAATTGGAAGAGGGACCAAAGCAAGACAAGGGAATAGACCTTGAAGTGAAGCTGAGGATGATGATGATGATGATGACGAAATCACCGAGTCGGATAAGGAAGTAACAGAGGAGGAGGAGGAGGAGAATGAAGTGGTTAAGCTGGATATGGTCGATGCGAGTGTGGGTCTGAGTCAGAATTTTAAGGACAAAGGGAAAAGCGTGGCTGTGGCACCAGCCCATGTGGTGGATTCAGCAGAAGATGGTGGGTGGAATGCCAGAGAATCCAGAGAACTACTAACTTGCATGGACAATGATATGGAAGGACCAAGCACTAGGGGTTTCGAGTTGTTTTCAACCTCTCCTGTTAGGAGACGGGAGAAAGCTGATCACTCTGGTGTTAGTATGAAGGATGAGAAGTTGGCACTTGAGCCACTTGATCTTTCGCTTAGCTTGCCTAATGTTTTATTACCTATTGGGGCAGCTCCTGGTTCTCCTGATCAAGCAAGGAGTGTTCAGTCTTTAAGCACTTTTCGTACTAACTCGGATGGATTTACTCAGTCAGTGTCTTTTTCAGGTTCTCAGTCATTTTATCACAACCCTAGTTGTTCGCTAACCCAGAACTCGATGGACTTTGAACAATCGGTTAAAAGTCGCCCCCTTTTTCAGGGGATTGATTGGCAGGCACTGGCTCAGAATGAGGCTAAGGGTAAAGAAGTTCCTTGGCAGGCACTGTCTCAGAATGAGGCTAAGAGTAAAGAAGTTCCTTTGTATCAAAGACTCTTGATGAATGGAAATGGGTCTCATCAACAGCAGTCTCAATCATCACAAGGCGTTCAAAATGGTCAATCCGTCCAAGGGCAACAACATCTTAGACATCCTGAAGGAAGCTCTAAAATGGCAAATGGATTGGAAAGGCAGCTGAGCTTCCATAAGCAGTTGACAGGTGGACAATCAAGGCACCAGGAAGATGTTAGATCACCTTCGCATAGCGTTGGATCTCATGAAATGGGATCAAATTATAGTTTTGACAGGAAACGACTAATGAGAGAGAAAAGTAGTGGTAGTTTATATAGAACTAGCAGCCAGAAGGAACAAGAACAGTTTCTCCTTGGTGGGGCTGATTTCGTTGAGACAATCATTGCCAGGATCGTCTCTGATCCAATACATGTAATGGCCAGAAAGTTTCATGAAATGACAGGACAATCTGCAGCATGTATGAAGGAGACCATTCGCGAGATTATGTTAAATATGGATAAGCGCATGCAACTGGTTGCATTTCAGAAGCACTGCAAAGCAGGTCTGACATAACCATGGAGACGCTACTAAAAGCCCATCGTGCGCAACTAGAAATCTTGGTTGCTCTAAAGACTGGTCTACCAGATTTCCTCCAGCAAGAGAGTGATGTGTCTTCTTCTGATTTGGCTGAGATTTTTCTGAACTCAAGATGCAGAAATCCTTCTTGTCGGAGTCCTGTGCCTGTGTATGAATGTGATTGCAAATTTTGCTCGCAAAAGAATGGTTTTTGCAGTGCTTGTATGTGTCTTGTGTGCTCAAAATTTGATATGGCCTTAAATACATGTAGTTGGATTGGGTGTGATGTTTGTCTCCATTGGTGCCATGCGGATTGTGCATTGCGGGAATCTTATATTAGAAATGGACGCAGTGCTACTGGATCTCAAGGGACTACTGAGATGCAGTTCCATGTGTTGCCTGCGATCATCCCTCTGAGATGTTTGGCTTTGTGAAGGAGGTTTTTCAGAATTTCGCAAAGGATTGGACAATTGAAAATCTTGCTAGGGAACTTGAATATGTCAAGAGAATTTTTGTTGTCAGCAAGGACATGAGAGGGAGACGACTTTATGAAATTGCTGATCAATCGCTGGCAAGATTGGCACATAAGTCTGACCTTCCAGATGTTTACAGTTATATCATGGCTTTCCTTGTGGGTAAGTTATATGTTTTATCAGAAAGGATTTATTGTTTTGTCCTTCCAATCTTTTGGGGTCATAATCTGTAGACTTGATCATAATTATTAGTTTCGAAATCATGCCTTTTGTCTGTAAAAAAGTTGGCTAAAATATATTTTCAATTTGTCATATATTGTTTGGTTCTCTTGAAGTATAAAAGACCAATCATGTAGCACTATGCATAATTTTCTAAGATGATTTTCCTCTAATATTTTGGAATTTCCATCTGGAAAGTGGCTGCTACAAGATACGGATGTTACATGGAGATTTTAGGGGATATTTGCGAATTGATGTCAATAGTGAATTGTTTTCGGTTGTTTTCCTTGTTTTGAGATATATGGAAACCCTTTGATATATCAAACAATTTTTTTGCCTTTTGTTTATGCATTGAAGCTGGAAAATGCACATTTTTAGGGAAGTTTTGTTCTTTCTGCTTTAACCATTAGAGCTGATGTTTTTTAATGCAGGCAAAATCATTGAGGAGCTACAAAAACCATAGTTGCAAATTTCAAATTTGTCATTTTGGATCTATGATCTGTAACTTTGTTTTCTGTGTTGCATACATTTTTTTTTTTGGTCCTTGTGTTACATACATTTTTTTATTTTTTTATAAAAAGATGTGTTACATACATTATGTGTCTTGCAGCTTGTGTGTTTCTTAGAATTCTTTGTGGGCTTGACTAAAAATGTATATTTCAATGATTCTGAACTTCTTTTTATGCTCATGGGAGAATGTTAAGGGGAAAGAGGGAAAAAAGTAGTACCAGTATCACTAAGGATATAGGACGAGTACAGAATGTCGTAGCAGCAACTCTTGGCTTTATTGAATCTGAAAGCTGTGCCATTTTGTTGTTGTAATTCTGTTTTAGTTAGTTGAAAATGGAAACCATAAGATTGCTAATTAAGTCGTTAACTTTGGTTTCAGATGCTGACAATTCGAAGCTGGGCAAAACACCCGTTTTATCTGGGAAGGATCAAAGTAAAGTGAGCAATGGGATTGCTGGGCCAAGCCAGGAACCCGCATGGCTGAAGTCATATACAGAAAAGGCACCTCAGTTGGAAACTGCAGCTAGCATTCTTCCTAGCTTTAACTATGACCAGCATGATAAACGCATTATAGAGACGGAGTTGCACACAATCGCCCCGAAAGAACCTCTCTTCGATGAGTTGGAGAGCATTGTGAGAATCAAGCAGGCCGAGGCTAAAATGTTCCAAACACGAGCAGATGATGCAAGAAGAGAAGCTGAGGGGCTGAAACGCATAGCGATTGCGAAGAATGAAAAAATTGAAGAAGAATATAGGAGTAGAATAGCAAAGTTGCATTTGGTTGAGGCCGAGGAAATGCGTAACAAGAAACTTGAAGAACTACAGGCTCTAGATCGAGCGCATCGTGAGTACTCAAATATGAAGATGAGGATGGAAGCAGATATTAAAGATCTTTTATTAAAAATGGAAGCTACAAAGAGGAACCTTTCTTTGTGATTTGGCAGATCAACTGGGGTTTCTATAGAACTTTCACCGCGGCAGGTGTTTGCAACCTTATCTCCCCATAATTTTATGTTGTAATGTAGTTTTTATGGCTATCTTTAGGTTTATTCCAAAGTAGTTTTCTGTTGTATTTCTTCTTCTTTTTTTTTCTTTTTTTTTCACTACTAACCAGAATCTGTACAGAGACTGCCCCATCTCTTAATGTTATAAAACAGCTCCCATTTATGATTCACGGAAGCAATCTGGGGTTAACGGTGGATCAAGTGTTGATTTATCAGAGGAATTTACTTCAATGGTTGGAATGTACCTGCATGTAATCTGGTTGCGCAAATGCAGGTTCATAACTTTGTTTTGTGGTATTTTGCTCAACTTAATGCTGTAAAGGACTATATATGTGAGAACATAACCGTTTTCTATAAACATAGTGTTCACAATGATAATCAAATGATGAAATGATTTTTGATTTGGTTTCGATTCGGCTAAATTTTTGTAAGGGTGATGCTTGAAATATTGACCAAAAAAATAAATGGTTTCGATCATAAAACGACATTGTCGAGTGGACTCCAATGAGACTAGCTGGGTTTGCAGTTCAATGACTGTAGATCAAAAGATTGTTGCAGAAAAAAATTCAGAAACCATTTGAATTTGATGTTCTATTTGGATAGATTGATGGTAATGTGTATGGACAATTTTCGTTTCTTTTTGTTTTTGCCAATTGTTAAATGCACTCTACATCTCTCATAACAGTTGAGCAGAATATATAATAGGGAAGGGATGGTTGGATGACAAAGCCTGGCTGGACCAGAAAAACGTCATGTCGTATGAGAATGAAAAAGCAGGCCTTCACGTTTTCAATCTCTTGCCTCGTACGACACGTTTTCTTTAACGTTTTCAAGAGGGTTTTGACTATAACGATACTTTTTACGTCATATCATTTATTTTTTTGACTTCGGGTTTGATGTTGGTCGCCTTTGAATCTAGGGTGTAGTAGTTCGTTGGGTTATAATAGGAGGGTGTAGATTAAGTTTTAGATTTGAGGTGTTGGGGGGGCACAGTTGGGGCCCAACATGGAGATAAGATTGAGAAAGGTACCCTACACGTGTAAGGTAAATCTGAGACTTAATAGTCAAAATGGTGAAAACCTAGGGGATAAGAGAGACTAGACCTAGTTTGAAAGGGGTCTTCAAATACCACAAACGTCAACGCATTGTTTTTTTGTTTCTAGATATGTATTTTTTTTTCTTCGAAGTGAATGGAGAGTAATGAATTATGACATGTTTAGTATGCCTCGTGGACTGGGTTAAATAACAATTGAACTTTAAGTTTGGTAAGGAAGGGGATTAACTTAAATGAGATTGTATAATCCAACAGTGAGAAAAACATCAGACTCGCTTGTCTAATACCAGTACAATGAGGCCGAAATGTGATTCGCAAAATAGTGAGCGTGCTATTTTGAACACGTGAATCCAATTGGACTCAGATCCTTGGCTTGAATTAAAACCCCACCACCACAGACCTAATCAGACCATCATCACAACCTAATCAGTCAATCGACCATCATCACCACCAATAACTAAGCACCATAACATAATAGAGAGAAGAAAGAAGGAAAGAAAAGAGGAAGAAAAGAAAGAAGAAAACGAGAGAGAGAGAGAGAGAGAGAGAGAGAGAGAGAAGAATAAATAAAGGGAGCTAATTTTCTTACTCCCTTTTGCTTTTTAATACTTTTCAATCAATTTTGTTTTTTCTCTTTCCTATTCTACCATCACCTTATATTAATATTTTGATATGGATACTCAATCAATGAGAGTGAACAAAACCCAGTCTTTTGGATTTCACCCTCATCACTGTAACATAACAAAACCTAGGCTTTTGGACTCCCCTACGAACTTGGAATGCTGAAATATTTATATGAGAAGAATTCTTTTCCATTATTTTATTTTTTCTTTCTCTTCAATCCCTGGCTATTTGTATTTTCTGAGAAGCTACCCAAACAAAATGAAGGTTTGAAATGATCTCATATGAAACAAAGAGAACTCCATTAATGTGAATTTGAAACTCATAGTCTCAAACTCAATTTCATTTTCCGATTCATGTTCACAAGTTCATAAAAAAAATTTCTTCATTCAATATCTGTTTTCCAAATGGTTATGACGGAGAAGAGAGGGAGAAGAGCGAGACGAATATGGAAAAAGAAAATGTAAAAATGTGTAGTTAGATGCATTTATGTTTCTTTGTGGCCACCTAAAATTTGTTTCCTTAAAAAAAAACAAAAACAAAAAATGGCTGCAAGGTTTATTCGTGGGGCATGAGTTTTTGTAAGTAGACCATTTAATTTTGCCTAGACAAATATACATGTTAATTATTTCTTACTCGATTAAAGGGAAAAAAATTGAAAATATTGTGCAAATTGGAAAATTAATTATAAAGAAAAAGGAATAATATAAAAGTGAAAAAACAAAAAAGAACAATTTGATTAAAAAGTATTAAAAAGCAAAAGGGAGTTTAATTGGAGAAAATGAGAGTGGAAAAATCAGCTCCCTAACTTAAAGAATGAGAGAAAGAAAAGAAAAGAAAACGCTAGACAAAAAATATCTTTTTTTTATTTTATTTTGAATTTATTTTTAGGTCAAAATTCCTAATTAAATTTAAATATTTAAATATTTATTTTTTAGTCCGACATAGCAGCAAACATATGTCTTCATTATTTTTACAATCCAGCTTCCTAGTCTGACGCACCACTAAACGTAGGTCAGTACGTAATCCAGCTTAGGTCAATCCAAACTAATCCAGACAGTCCTAGGATTAGCAGAGTCCATGACAGTCCGTTGTACCAAACAAAATAATTGTTATGGATTTTGGTATTGATATCCTAGATTTGAAATTACACTTTCGAGGTGTTATGTATACTTTAAGTTAATTAACTCTAATATTAGATTGCACGTGTTCAACTCAGTTATCCAAGAAGGTAGTGTGCTCGTCCTCTTACTTTCTCTATCTTCCTTTCCTTACATGACCTCCCCCTTTCTTCTTGTCAGAAAAATTACAAAATATTCAGTTTGAAGTGCATATTATTAGAAAAGAAGAGCCAAAATCTTTACACCTCAAGAAGATCTAAGGAAAGTTGTTTGAAAACAGCTTATAGCATAATATTCTACAGTCATTCTCACAAGTCATAAGTAAAGCAAGGCACAAACTACTAATATTTTAGATTAAAAAAAAATATATATATATATATATATAGTTCTTCTCGTATGCGGATGTCATTGTAAATAGGAAAAAAATAGGGAGGGATAGTAGAAAATATATGACGTCCGCACGATTTTAATGTTTGAACATCCACATAGAAGAATATATATTTTTGCCAATCACCTTTTTTTTTTTTGGTCATAATTTAGTTCCCACTTTCTTTAGAGGAAATTTGAGTTCAAATTTCATGGACGAGAATTTATTATGTTGAATAAAAATAACTGAATATTTCTTACCATTGAATCCCAAATTCATTGATACAAAACTAATCCAGAGCTAACAAAACATAGATCGCAAAAACTAAGAGGCAAAAAAGAGAATACATAGATAACAAAACATAACAGACCGAACCCAAACAAAACAAGGAAAACCCTGAACTTCAATGAGAGGCCAACATCATATAAGTGTAGAAGAGGAAGAAAGAGAGGAGGAAAACAAACAAGAGAGGCATGAGCCTTTGAAGAGGCTTGCCACCGATCATTACAATCCAATTTGTTGATTTCAATGACTTTGGCATACCAAATTGGATCTCAAAATTCCAAAAGGGTGATGATTTTTCACATTTTAAATCATCTTGCAATTACTTCACGCATTGTACATGCGTGAGTGATAATGAAGTGTGAAAAATGATATTAGAAGTGCTAAAATTATTTGAATTTCAAAATCAACATGCCTTGATGATTATGAGATTTTGTTTTTTTTTTTTTTTTTTTTTTTTTTTTTTTGTTTTCTCGTCATATTATTAATTATTATTAATATATTTTGGGAACTGATTTTCCCACTCCATTTTCTGCACTCACACTCCCTTTCGCTTTTTAATACTTTTTAATCAATATTGTTCTTTTTTGTTCTTTCTCTTTCTAATTCTACCTTTAAGGTTTTGATAACTGAAATTAAGAAAAGTTAACATAAAATAAAACAAAAATAAATTTTGAAAATGGATAGGAATGTAAGTATTTGTACGCCAAATTCTTTGTCTTTTTACCAAGTATGTAAGTACTATTTATCTTTGTTGTAGTTAATAGATAACAAATTTTTTGGGCTAACATGTTCATAGGTAGAAGAATCAAAGAATGCTACTAACCAAACTTTCAATATGAGCTTAGATATGTAGAGAGTAAGGTATGCATAATAGTCTCATATTTTTATTCTTTCATAATATTAGCAAGTGATTGTACATGTCTTCTTATTAAGGGGAATTGTAGGGTAAGGGTAGAATAGGAAATAGATAGAACAAAAAAGAACAAAATTGATTAAAAAAATATTAAAAAGCAAAAAGGAGTGTAAGTGGAGAAAAAAGAGTGAGAAAATCACCTCCCCATGTTTTTTGAATACATACGATAGTTTAGAAGGGGATGTAGATTTCTCTCTCACACACACACTATCAAAGTGTCATAGGAATTCAAACATGAAACCACTGATCTGCAATCAAGGCCCTCTTTTACTGGATTACACCCGTGGGTGTATGATTCATATACTATGGATGTATGGCCAGTTTATAGTGGATTTTCCAAATTTGTTAGTTTCATACTCTTCTTCATATTTGCTTTCAAACTATGAAAACATAAATAATCCACAAAAATACATGCTCACTTTTTTTGGGGTAACTAAATACATGCTAACCTACAAAAAACAAAAAGTTGTACATGCCCACAAAAGATATTTTCTCACATTGTAATAGGGAAAAACAAAAAGATATTTTCTTATACATTGGCCACTGAGAATGATTTAGTTTCTTCTTTTCCTTCTTTTCCATGGTCAAACACCAGACACTTCCCCACACAAGCATCCATGGAGAAACCAATCTTGTTCAACTCCACCTCCCAACAACCCTTCTTAATTACCCAAAATTTGATCTTTCTTCCATGTCCATCTGCTCTTTCAATTTGCCATTCTTTCCAAATAAAAAATAGTTCCATTCAATTTGAACCCAAAAGCAGAAGCAGCCCAAGAACAGATTCCATTCTTCTAGCTTGCCAAGGCCGTGAGCCCGTAGAGAAAGATCAGAAGCAAGGAGATAAGCAGTCGTTGCTGCTGGGGCTTTTTGTTGGTTTTGAGAGGCTGGGGAAGAACTTGAAGGAGAATTTAAGCCCAAAGCAAAAGGGTGACTGGAAGGACTTGATGTTGATGAGCTTATCATTTGCTGTGTATGTTTACATCTCCCAAAGGATTGTCTGTGCTTACTGTGCTTGGATGTCCATGCCCAACCATCCTTGGTAAAAAAAGATAAAAATTATTTGGGTTTCTTGCTTTATGTAAAATTCTAAACCAAACCCTGATTTTATATTTGTAATATGTATTAGATATGTTGTTCGCTTCTGGGATGATTTTTTATTTTATTTTATTTTTATACTGGTGACTAATGACGGGAAAATTCACCTCTCTAATGTATGTACAGAGAATAATCGTTACAACAGAAATGGTTTAGTCAAGTTGGTTAGAGGTATGTGCTTTTAAATATCCCCTCGTAATTTAGAATAGATTAAGTTACAACAGAAATGGTTTAGTCAAGTTGATTAGAGGGATGTGCTTTTAAATATCGTAATTTAGATTAGATTAAATAGTAATTTAGATTAGATTAAGTAGAATAATAAACAGCAATGCTTTTCACAATTTCAGTGCCTGTCTCCTTCTGAAAGGACATAGAAAATTAGAAATTCACAGAGGGCAAATGATCTTTTCATGAATATTGAATGGTTAACATTTTCTATTCCATTTCCAGAATTTAGGACCAAAATTCGCAAATATGCTCAAGAAAGTCGTAGATGGGGTCCATTTGGAATGAATAATTTCAAACCTAAATCCAACAGTTAATTTCAAATACATTCCATGCAGTGTTTTTATTTATTTATTAATTATTATAATTATTATATAGTTTTTCTGAAACTAGTTCAGTAATATTGTCAAAATCCAAATCCTTTACTTTCAAATACTCCATTCAAACTATGACCCAAAAACCAAAAAAAAATCTCCATTCAAATAGACTTGTAACTGAGAAACAAGAATTCTCCAGCAAAAGGTAAACTAAAGAAACAAGAAGCATTACTGAAAGCAATCTGACTCGTTCCACACGAACAATCTGAAAGATTATGGCAGTGACGAAAAATTCACAACTGAAACTTTCAGCAAACAAAGGGAAAATGAGAAAAATAAGCTTTTGTTGAACAGTTCAGAACAGTCACCTTGTATCTTCCAGGCTAAAACTGTTTTCATTTAAGATTTAACTCAAAGGCCTGAAACTCCCTCCACAAATGAAATTCATGGTCTTGTTTATTATAGACTCCATACATAAATTTCTTCATTTATTGTACAACTCAAGACTTCAAGAGCTTTGACTAATCAGCTTTATGCCTTTCGCGCCTGAAGACACGGTAGAATAATGACAATAGCCAGTGCCAAATGACGATCAACCAATTATTTTGCTTGGGTTTAGGTTCCAGGGTTGGTCCGAAAATTCCCTTGTAGATCTCTTTTTGTTTCTGATAAACAGCCTTGTCATGCTCAGCAAGCAGACGCAACTCCCTTGCAATAGCTTTGTCTTCAGGTGCAAATTTACGTGCCTTTAAAAAGTCTTCCCGGGCAGCATCTGTCTGCCCAAGCTCTGCTCTGGCTTTTCCTCGCCTAAATAATGCTTTGACATGTTTTCATCCTCCGCCAGTACCTGTGAGCGATTGTTCAATTACAGTTAAGACAGAATTTTGATAGGGAGCTGTTATTGGCACTCCAAAAAAGTCATTTTGCACTCTCTTGTAAAAACAAAAGAGACAAATTGCACATGGTGGAAGTGCATGATGACTTTTTTGGAGTGCTAATCACGGTTCATTTTTGATATTACATGGATGGGTATTGAAGTATCACTACCTTCATAAAATGCATAAAAATCTATTATTAGACATCAGTGCATTTACAATTCCAAGTTATAAGAGTCGTATAATTTGAAACAACAGGATGGCGCATGGGCACATACTACAGAGATCATAAGAGTGCAGTATTTTAAGCAAGGACCTTTAAATTTTGATTTTTGATTGAAGAATGGTGCCAGTGAGCCTTCAAAGTTTGTATTGGCAACTAAAGAGCATTTCCGTTTTCGACGACAATCCGAAATAATAGGTCAAAGCTAAGGAAAGAATCCAAATTTTGTTGATGCAGTATGCTATTTCACTTCCCAAATAAGCCTACTATAATCCAACTCTCAAGTATCTAAGGATGAATAGTACAATTGCTGAGCACATACATGAAATATGATTTTCTTGTTCGAGCATATACTTACAATACTGCATTGTCCAATGGCTTCTTCATACCGCTTGAGCTTTATAAGAGACGCTGCAATGTTAAGGTGGCATGGATTTTTAACAGCCAAAGCCATGTCCCTGTACTTCCCAAACAACTGGAACATGAAGTCGTCACCCATATATGCAATGGCCTAACAGAAACCCCACCAGAATCTTGTCAAAAAGGAAATCTAAATAGACTGTACAACTCAGAAGCTCATCTAGAACCATAAATATAATATCTAAGAATTACAAGTGCATAACCATTTCATACTGTTGCATAGCCTCCTCTAGTTTTTCTTCTTTAAATAAAGCATTTCCATCCATCTTTCTTCTATCTGCTGCTCCAATCCTCTCCTCCACAGTCATGTCACCACGAGCTTTCCCCTATGAAAGGCAGAGTCCACAGATATATGTTAGCATATTACTGAAGCAAAGCACTCACAAAGAGATTTTGAAACTTCCATGATAACTACTTGCGAAGAGACTTTTGGAAGCAACTTACTTCTTTGGTTTCATCAAACCCAATAAGCTCAACTTCATATGATATATCTGCCAAGGGTGGAACATTCGGAAAAGAAAAGCTTCCTTCTTTTCCCATACCCTAACTCCCAGCCTACATGTAAAAGGGCACGCTCTCCAGATTTCATGCTGGAGACACCAATAGCCAAGCCAGTCATTTCTTTTTTCTCTGTTGTAGAAACAAAATATTTCTCTCATGAGAAGCCCAATGCATTTATTTTCGTCACTTGTCTAAATAAATACTACTATAGGATGCTTGAATTTTTTATGAACACAAATTATCTGAGTAATTAGAGAGAATAAATGCAATAAACAAATCGAAAAACTAACCGCAGGTTGAACAAGGAACGTGTCAGAATCCATTTGCATATATTTTGTATATATTTAAAGAAACTGATGACTCAGCAAGGCAAATACCTTTTCCTAAAATCATTTCAAGTGGTCGTTGTTCATCCCATGTGTCTTCAAACTTATGCCGTGTGCTTTGAGTCCATGCCCTGTAGTGCACTGTCACATATATGCAGTCACTCAGTGATTGAAGGAACCTGACTAACTAAAGTTATATGTAAATCATCTATGAGAAGGATGTGTACAAAAAAGTAATTCTATGTGGTTATCCAAGCAAAAATTAAAAAATTTGATGATGCATTTTACCTTAACAAGTAGGTAACTATTAGATGAATTTGCATCGGAGAATGTGTAGAAAAATGCAACTGAAATCATATAGAAACGAGTCCAAGTTGATGAGGCATACGTTAAAAAAATGAAAGTTTTGTTTTTCTGTTTTTGATTTCTTTCCTGGAATGATAGAATACTATTACACAAATTGTATTATAACAAACTGTTTTGTTTAAGTGTACAGAAACCTCTGTCTACGTGAATGTCATGTGTGTCTGTTTGCAAGTCTCAAGCTCATTCATATGCCTTACTGCCTATACTAACAAATACTTGCGCAGGTAACTAGTAGTTGAAATTGCATTGGAGGATGTATATAAAAATGCAACTGAAATCATATTGAAACAAGTCAAAGTTGATGAGGCATACATTAAAAAAAATGAAAGTTTTATTGTTTGGCCCTTTCTCTTTCCTGAAATGAAAAGCAATCAACAGAGTGTGAAATAAAGTTATCTTCATACTGACTACTGTGTAAACAAAACATTCAACCAATGATATGTAGCCTCCAGCTTGCGGGAAAGTATGCCGGTAGTGATGGCTACTTACAGCTTGCAGACTGGCTTAATTCAAGGTTGATTGTGTTGAGGTTAATTCTTGTCTGTTAACTGATACAAGTCTGATTTCTAGACCAAAAGACTGGAGAACTGATTTATTTCCTTTCTACGTAAACACCTATTTACTCTATTCATGCGATATGATCTCTTCATACAATAACTATTGTTATACTAATATGCACAAGTGAGTATTCTAGAGTAGTAAGTGTAAAGATTTTGAAGCCTTGCATGCCAAATTGGGACCCTCAACTTAATTGATCGCACCCTTCCCATTACACTCTCCCAAAACCCTATAGAACCCTAGTTTATGTGATAACATCAAATTTCCAACAAGAAATTGGATCCATCTAAAACTGTATGTTTTATGCCAGACAAAAGACACCTAAAATGCTTTATATCAGATCATATCACAAAGCCCAAGAATGCAATGGTAAGTAATGCTAAGAAATTACATGTGCACAAAAGAATTCCTGGATTTTCAACTAATGTACACAGAAAAACCAAAAAGGAAACAATATCTACTAGTATTTAAACGTTATTGTGGCAGAAGTACAAGAATAAGCAACCATTTGACACTTACAGAAGCATGTTGAATATTTGGATGGTATTGGACCATGACCTTCCTTAATGATTTGCTTCGTGACTTTCTCATGAAGGACTTCCACCTTAGAATCAACTTTTGGGAGGCCATTAGCATCTTGAGGAGGTTCCCCATGAACAAATGTAGCATCTTCAGTTACTATTTCACTTTCACCATCTTGACCTACAAAGAATATAATTGTCACTAGCCTATGTTGCAACATCTCTTTCCAAAACTCAAACGAGTTTCAATAGAATACTCATAGTGCACCATAATATATGGTCATTTAAAAATCTGCTTCACTCCTAAGTAGAGGGGAAAATAACATTCTTCTCTTTCATCTGTACACATTATACAGGGCCTATATAACTGACATCCCCACATATCTATGATGAGTTGTGAATACAGGGATTTGTCAGTTACTAACATAAAAATAATGAGGAATGATGAATCAGTGCATGGAGAGGAGAAAAGCCCCAGTCATTGTGTCCAAGCATTGTGTTCCTTCTCGAAACATAAATTATTTCCAAAATGCTATCATGTTCTAACCGAACAATAGTTTGGCTTGATAATGACCAACAAGAATTGGAGATTGAAGATTTTGTCATGTTAGAGAAAAGGATAAGAAAAGATCTTCATGTATTCATTTCAACTCAATCACTTCAAAACCACCTTATTTGAAAGTTGTTGAAACACAACCAGGATTTGAAGAAAATTCTACTTATAAAATTATGGAACTTATAAATGAAGTTTTAACACTCAGTTCGATCCTAGTATTAACCAAAAATACCTCTGGCATCCGATAAGATTTCAATTCAGTTTCCATTGGACACCATCCATTCAAGTAATGTTAGCCTCTTAAGATTGTTATAGAACTACATAACGGATTTGCTTCTACAGTAACAATATAGATAGTTTTGACAGATCTTACAGTATCCGAGTGTACCTCAAAGATTTAATGGAGTGTAGAAAGTAAAAATTATTTCTTTAACTGAAAATGAAGGTCAAAGTATGATTATAAATACCAAGTGGTTGACTTTGCTGGTCCAGAACATCCTCCATTACTTGAAAATCTTTACAGTCCAATGGGTCTTCTCAAATTTCTGCACAGACCCAAATGAAAGACCTCAATAAACACGCAAACTTCACGGGAATTGTATTGAAATTCCGAACAGAAGTAGAAATTCCGTACATTCAAACAAATATAACTTAAACCAGATTCTTTGCTGGTTTGGTTACTAGGAAATGTCTAGAAAAGTTCAGAAAACCAAATAAAAGATACAAACAAGGAATTACAGTCGGCTCAGATGGAACACCTGACTTCTCTCTTCTTTGACGGAAAAAACGCAACACTTATGGGAACATACCAAAACCCAACATTTTCATTTTCTTGTATTTTCTTTCAAGTTTTCTCGGGAATCAAACAAACAGAAAACTACAAACAGAAAAATAAAAGCTGGACTTACTTGGATCTCTTCTGTTGTTATGATGAGTGGGTTGTTTTTGTGGTTGAACTATTTAGAATGTCTTTAATTTTCAACGACCGAAGAGGATTCTAGAGGAGAGGAGAGTCCTCCACCTAGACCTAGAGTAGACATACAATATGTCTAGAGAGAGATGAAGGTATTCGACCCAAAAAAGAGAGAAAGAATATTTTAAGATGAAGGGTGGAGATTTTGAACGCAAGACCTCCAAGGTCAAACTCAAGGCAAATACCACTGCAACAACTCGTTGGGTCTATAATGCAAAATGACAACGACTATACTTAATAGGGTTAATTACAGTTTGGTAACTTGTGATTACGCCGTTAGGATTTATGCCACATCTCTCTGTAGCACTATGGGTCTCACATTTTTCACTTTTTGTTAATTTAAAATTGATTAAAATATTTGTTTTGGGGAAAAAATTGCAAAAAAAGAGGAGGGAAAAAATCCTCCCAAACCAACGCCCCCGCGATTTTCTTCTTCCCCTATTCACCGATGACCACCACCCGCACCCACCCTCCAACTCCCCCTCCTCCCCCCCACAGCCAAACCAACCTTAAACCCCAACCCGCAACCACAGACCCGATCCCCCTCCCCTAGATTCCTTCTCCCCCTGCCCGACCCCAAACTCCAGTACCCACCCACCAAAAACCAACGAAATTTTTTGCAAAACTGGGAAATTTACCAAAACCGCAAAAGTCTCAAACTTTGAGAAAAGAAAACTTGTTACCTTTTGTTTTCTTTCCATCAGTTCATGATCTACCAAACAGGGGAAAAGACACAAGCCAACCCAAAATTCTCATAACCACATTCACGACAACTACGGGACACCAAATTATAACGCTAATTATACAGTTATGTATTGAGCAAAAAAATAAAAAAATAATCAAAACACCTAAATTCAAAAACCAACGAATTTTTTTATTTTTATTTTTTTCCAATTTGTTGGTTTTTTAATTTGCACAGAGAGAGAGAGGGTAGAGAGCGGAGAGGAGAGAGAGACGCAGACCGTCAGATCTCGCCGGAAAGCGTCGGCGACGGCTGGAACGAGCTCTGAAGGATGGAGAGAGAGTGGTCGCCAAGCTGTATTTGGTAGGTGGGGACTGGAGTTTAAGGCCGGGGCAGGGGGAGAAGAAATCGGGGGGTAGGGGGAGGGAGTCTGGGTGGTTGCGGGCTGGGGTTCTGGGTTCGTTTGGGGGTGGGGGGTTTGGAGGATGGCTGCGAGTGGTGGTCATGGTGGAATGAGAGGGAGAAGAAAATCGCAGCGGTTTGGGGAGGTTTTTTTTTTTTTTTTTTGCTTTTTTTTTTTTTTTTTTTTTTTTTTTTTTTTTTTTTTTTTTTTTTTAATCATTTTAAAATTAAACAAAAAATGAAAAATGTGGGACCCATAGTGCACATAGGAAACAAATTGAGAAATTTAACAGAAATCCTAACGGCGAAACCACATTGTAACAAATTTAAAAGATTGAGTATCTAATTGTACAAATTAAGAAGATAGAGACTAACATATCTTAATAGTGTAATCACAGGGTACCAAACTGTAATTAACCATATTTAATATGTCAAACATCCAGATACTCTAATAAAAGTCAGGATTTAAAGCGTTGAAAAGGAAAAGTTGAGTGTTTGCCAAAATCAACTCAACTGAGAGGGAATTTTCATTTTCATTTCCATTTTCTGCCTACCAAATCTCGTCAATAAAATTTCAGGAATAATACGTCTTCTTCGAAGAGAAGAAGTTTGCGTCCAATGGTTTTTGTTTTGAGACTTGGATTTTTGGTTTGGAGACTAAAATTTCATTTTTATAATACTAAATTAATTTACTAGAATTTTAAAATAATTGAAACTATTTTAAAAATAATTTTAAATTCCAAAAAATTCTTTAAGATCATTAAATGTAATTAATTAATATTTATTAAGTAATTTTTTTGAAATTAATTCAAATATTTAAATACTAATTCTTCACTAAATAAATAAAAGTAATTAAAACATAATATATTCAACGGCTATACCTTTCAAATATTCTATTTACTATTATATACCTTTAAATAGTATAGCTGCGCGGCTATACTCCTATATATTAACAGTATAGCCGAGCGGCTATACGCCAATATATTATATTCAGAATATTTGTAAGCACAGCCGGTCATCTATGCTCTAAAAATATAAATATCTTAACAGTATAGCCCCCCGGCTATACTGTGTAAATAGCAAACTAAGGAAACACATCTCACAACGAATTTTCGTCGGCACAGGTCTATGCTGGCAAAATTTTGTCGGATTAGACTTCTCTCGACGAATGCTACCTCGGCCGACGGAATTTCGTTAGGATTATAAAATTAGTTTCTTTACTTTTGTTTTTTGGCCAACTTCTTTAATTTAATATATGTGATTAAGTAATATTTTAGCCTTTTTGAATCACTTTAATTTGTAATTACATATTAATTTTTATTTCTTTAGTAAATATTTAAATATGTTACTGATTTAATTCTACGGTGCAAAAACGAAAAAAATAAAGAGTGCTACTATTTCCACCCACCTGTCCTATTTTCCCACCCACCTTATATTTAAACTTTTAAAGACAAATTTAACCCTATTGTAAAATGACTTAAAAAGACTTAAGGAAAAAGAAAGAGGAAAAAAAAAAAAGGCGAACTTCTCAGTTCTCAAGTAATCCTATCGTTTGACAGAGAGAAAAAAACACAAGAATACGACTCCTTGCTCATGAGAAGGTGAAGAAGGCGAGTACTGTTGTTTTTCCCTTATCTGTTTGGCTTTGTACTCTTTGACATTCTCATGTCTTAAGAATGGGCGTTTTATATTTTTTTTTATTGCAAAGTTCAACAGATTTCTGGTCCTTGGATAACTCTGGAGAAAAAGTTTATTTACAATAGTAAAAAGCTAAGAGCATAAATGTGATTATATTCACAGAAACCATATTTACAAAATAAAAAGTACAGCAAAAAACTGTTTTAATTAATTAAACATGAGAGACAGAGACAGAGATGGAGTGTGAGAGATGGAAAATAAGATAGAGAAAAATAAGAGAGATGTGTCATCAGAGAGATAGAAGACATGAGCAGAGAGAATAAAGGAGAGAGGAAATGAGGTAATAATTAAAATGGTATTTTAGGAATATTGGTGGGTGTAAAAATAGGATTGTATTTTTTAAAAATTTATGTGGTGTGTGAAAAGATAAGGTGGGTGGGAAAATAGGACAGGTGGGTGGAAATAGCAGCACTCAAAATAAATTACCCGTTTTCGTTTGTGTGTCTTAATTAAATCTTCCTTGAGCCCAGGATGCCCAAGGCCCAAATCTTTGATTAATATAATTGTTATTAATGAGAGCCCAATTAAAAGCCCATTAGCCTAGCTCTCCAATGTTAAACACACTTAATGAATTGTCATAGTATTTTGTTTATAAATACCTACCTTTATAGGAGTGTGGATTTTCCACGTGGGATTTTCCTAAGGGCACCTCAAAAAATAACATATTATGGTCATTTTACTGCAAGTTTGTTTAGTCCAGGATTGACAGTGTGAAATTGGGTGAAAAATGTACAATAATGATGTACGGTCCTACTGGTTCAGGCAAGAGTCGCACCATGTTTGGGTGTTGCAAGCAACCTGGGATTGTGTACAGGTCGCTGAAAGACATTCTTGGCGATGTTGGAGAAGATGATTGTGCGGGTTGTATGGCTGGGGCCTTTGTGCAGGTCACTGTTTTGGAGATATATAATGAGGAGATTTATGATTTGTTGTCAAGCAGTGGTGGCGGAGGATTCGGATTTGGATGGTCAAAGGGCAACGGCTCCAATTCTAAGGTGATAACATTAACTGGGTCTCTTTCTTTTTATTTATTCAATTCTTGATGATTTATCAGTTTATTTTTAATTACTGCACTAATACTTGTACCTGCAGGTTAGGCTTGAAGTGATGGGAAAGAAGGCAAAGAATGCAACCTACATTTCTGGAAATGAGGCTGGCAAAATTTCCAAAGAGATTCAGAAAGTGGAGAAGAGAAGGGTTGTTAATAGTACTCTTTGCAATGAAAGAAGTTCTCGGAGCCATTGCATGGTAGGATTCCCTTGGACTTTCAAATATATGATAATTCCTCCCCAAGTCTTGTCACTGGTTGGATATAACTTGCTTTCTATTTCTGCACAGATAATCCTTGATGTCCCAACAGTAGGAGGACGCTTGATGCTTGTGGACATGGCTGGCTCTGAAAATTTTGAGCAAGCTGGCCAAATTGGATTTGAGGCAAATATGCAGGTAATGTCTTGGTGGTGCTTAATTTATGCTGATACTGTATGCAGCACTTTCATTGTCTAACTCACGTCTGCTTTTTGGTTAGTCAAATTAACCATATATCTTATTGTTGTATCAAAACATGAAAGTGGTATACTTTATATGAATATTTTTTGCTTTGGGCTAAGCCAAAGTGTGATAACACAGCTATGTCTTCCTTACAATTCTTTGATAATGGCTCCTTTATGGAAGACGGTTACCTAAGAAATGACTTGATTTTCTTTAGAGTGCTCTTTTACTTTTATCGCTTTCTTCTTTTGTCTGCGGGCTACAATGGCGTGCCAATGGAGGGGTCTTGTCTCTTTTGAAATCTAGAGAAAAGGTTATAAAGGCAATTGAATAATTAAGCGCTAAAGTATATGCATCGCGGAGCATTTTCATCTACCTTACTGAAATCGTTTCACACAATGAATGATGACTTGCTACTACAATACAATCACAAAAATGAAGTCATGAAAATAATATTTTAGTCCACACAAATAATATTTAGTTCCAACTAGTTAAACCATTAACGTAAATCTGCATGGAAAAATGAACTAGTAAGCAGGGGCGGAGCTATTCATAGGCCTGAGATGGCCTGGGCCCCCCCCAACATCTTCTCACCTCTTTGACTGTATAAAGAGTATAGTATAGATTGCACAAAAAATTCCCATAGTTTTAAGCTTGTGGCCCCTCCAAATATCAAACTCTACCTCCGCCACTGCTAGTAAGGTATATATGATATATGCGATTTGTTAAGTTCAGGCATGCCGTGCTGCTATCATGCTATGTCACGGATAAGAGATATGCGTGCAAATCTTGCTTAATACAGGGGCCAACACACACAGACGCACTGTTGAAAAACATAAAAGAAACACTACCCTTAGATTTTGCATTTTATGGGAGTAAGGCACTATTTAGTGTTACATGTTTGTTTGTTATAAATTTCGAATCGCAAATTCGACCAGTTTTTGTTTCAGGGTCAGAATATATGTTTCTTGGAACATAATATTGACTCCACTAATAAACTAGTTGAATTGATTTTCGTTGGTACAATATGTATATAATATATATGTATTATGGTTAAATTTATTAGGTACAATCATAAATTAAGGGCTGGAACAGTTTTGAATAATTGGAAGTTTCGATTGTGCTATCACCTTTATGAGCTAATGCGCGTCCATTTCTTCCCGTTCATGTATTTTTTAAGAAATGTAAATAGTATAACCAGTAGGCTATACTCGGATTTCACTAATTAAAAGATAGTATAGCCGCACGGCTATACTTGTTTTCACACGTGGGCACTTAGCGGCTATACTCGGGTTTTACTAATTAAAAAATAGTACTTGTTTTCACACGTGGGCACTTAGGCGCTACGCTAATTTTTTTTTAATAAATAGTTTAGCCGCGCGGCTATATTCGGGTTATTTTTTATAAAAAAAAATGTATAGCCTTACGGCTATATTATAGAAAATTAGTTAAATACACATTCCTAGACATAGTTCTATAAAGAAACCCTATACCATTCAATGTATATGAACAAAAAAAAAAAAAAAAAAAAAAAAAAAAAAAAAAACCATAAATTAATTACATTTTTTAAACAAAATTTAAGAAAAAAAACACCCCAGTAAAGCTGAGCGGCTATACTCGTTTTTTATATATAAAAAACTCAACTATAGCCGTGCGGCTATACGATTTATATATGAATAAAAAGGCTTAATATCACAAAACGTCCCTAAGGTTTACGAAACTATCAGATTGCATCCTTAATTATTTTTTTTGTCACTCATGGTCCTCAAGGTTAGTATGTGCGATCACAAATGGTCCCTGTCGTTAAGCTCCGTCAAAAACTCCGTTAGTTTGCTGACGTGGCATATATATATATATATATATATCATAAAACATTCATGAGGTTCACACACCTATCACAAATGGTCTCTACGAATTTTTTTAATTTTTTAATTTAAAATTCATAAAATACCTTAGTTTTTTTCATTTTAAAATTTTATGAATTTTAAATTATTTTAAAAAAATTCATAAAATTTTAAAAAGAAAACCAAAATTTCTCATGGACCATTTGTGATAGGTGCGTGAATCTTAAGGATGTTTTGTGATATATATATATATATATATATATATATATATACACACCACGTCAGCAAACTAACGGAGTTTTTGACGGAACGTAACAGTAGGGACCATTTGTGATCACACATACTAATCTTGAGGACCACGAATGACCAAAAAAAATGATGCAATATGATAGTTTCGTAAACTTTAGGGACGTTTTGTGATAATAAGCCAAATAAAAAAGACCCGGCTACTGGCACTAACATGTCAAAAAAAGTATAGTCACGTGGTGATACTTATAATAAAAACCCGTAGTATAGCCGCTCGGCTATACTCTTTATGTATATATTTGAAAGGAGTATACCCGCCCGGCTATCCAAACATTTAATTTTGCAACTAATGGAACATTTTAAATGATGTAATTGAGTGTTTTGGGACTAGGCATGCTCAGGCATGACTCTGGCAATGGAGTATACGTCACTGGAATGGATCCTGGGTTTCTGGACGTGTTAGAAAAGCACCCAGAGAACTCTGACAGAGTCAAAAAACATGGTTTCTGATCTAAAGAGAGGTCCTATCGCTCCTACTTTTCTTGGCTCCCTGGAAGGGCTGCTCTGCTCTCTGAATTGCTCTCTTTCCACTCTTCAGGTACTTGGATTCATTTTGGATAGATTTGCTTTCTTTTTCAACTTCTAGTTTCTATGCTTTTTGAGTTGCTTCCCTTCCTCTCTCCTGGTATCAAATTTTAATTGTTTAAATACTTACATTTGTGATATGAGTTGGTAAAGTTATGAAGAATATTGGTTCTGGTTAAGTTAGAGTCTGATGTAAGTTCAAATATATGGTGCTGTCTGCAGAATACATAAATGAACTAGTTGAAGCAGATAGAGATGGGGTAAGATGCTATGTGCTGGGACTTTCTTTAACCCCGGATCATGGGATGCCTCACTTCTTGCTGCCGGTACTACATTATCAGCAATGAAGCATGTACTTGATGGACATGGAAAAATTGTTTATGCATTGGTTAGGCCTCCGGGTCACCATGCTCAGCCTACTCAAGCTGATGGCTTCTGCTTCCTGAACAATGCCGGTCTTGCTGTTCATTGGCTTTAAATTCTGGCTGCGCAAAGGTTGCGGTCATAGACATCGATGTTCATTATGGAAATGGGACTGCTGAGGGATTCTATAGGTCTGATAAGGTTCTTACAACCTCCCTTCATATGCATCATGGTTCATGGGGGTCCATCTCACCCACAGAATGGCTCAGTTGATGAGCTTGGCGAAGGGGAGGGATTTAATTATAATTTGAATATACCTCTACCATATGGGACAGGGGACCGTGGATACAGGCATGCCATGACTGAGTTGGTTGTACCTGCAATCCAAAAGTTGAGCCTGAAATGATGGTTCTGGTAGCTGGCCAAGATTCAAGTGCTGTAAGTTAAATCTTTCTGCTCAACTCCAATTTAGATGATTTGCTTGATTGTTTCTTTATTGAGAAGATTGTCTGGTTTTTACTATCTACATCGTCATTTATATGAAAGAACTTCAGTTTAATCATGAACCATATAAATCTACTTAATATCTTCCTAACTGAGCTATAAATTGTCAGATTTCTATTTAAATTTCAATATCTTGATACATTCAGGACATAGAGCTGAGCATGAGGTTCTGTTCCTGATCTTGCTTTTCTACAAATTTAGAGTTACAATGAAAATTAGTACTGCTTAACAAAACTGAAATCCTCACCGTCTTTATGCAGAGACTTCCCATCTTAGAAAGAGCTGTTTCTGTATAGTAATTACTGTTTTTTATTTTGTTGGCATAAAACCCTTAACAATATCCTTTTTCACAGCATGAACTTCAAGTTTTTCTCTGGCTACGTTTGAACAAATTTTATTTTATTGTCAACAAAAATTGAAGTAGCTTATAGAATGACACTGGTTGTTCTCAGTATGATCCAATTGGAAGGCAGTGTTTGACAATGGAGGGTTATGAAGAGATTGGCCGGATTGTTCGTAGCCTGGCTGCCCGACACTGCAGTGGACGTCTTCCGATTGTCCAAGAAGGTGGATATCATGTTACCTACTCAGCCTTTTGTCTCCATGCCACACTTGATGGTGTGCTTAACCTACCAATTTCTCTACTATCTGATCCCATGGCTTATTACCCAGAGGATGAGGCATTGGCTATTGAAGTTATTAAATCCATTAAAAAGTTCCAGAAAGACAATGTACCATCTTAAAAGGAGCTTAATTTGGAATTTATTTTAGTAAACCTCATTCTCTGTGTGTAATCTGTCTATGATATAAGATTGTTATTGCAACAAACAAGTCGTTTACTTTATTTTTTAAAATTTGATTGAGTATTGCTTATTGCTTCAATGTTTCTGTATGAGCATCCCTAATTAAAGATGAAGGCACTGTTATCTTGCAGAGTACACCTACTTTCATATAAAAAATTTATAAAAAAACTGAAACATGCCATGGCTGGAGCAGAAGATCAAATTTCTCACTTTTGTTAATACGTAGGTGGATTCGCAATCTGTTTGTGTGAGTTTTGACTATTTTGTTTAGTTGATAGCATAGCTAGTACTCTTTCCTACTTCTAGATTTTGTCCCACGTGGTTTTCTTTGGAAAGGTTTTAATGAGGCCGCCGTTAACATGCTGTGTATTACTCTGTACTGTTGAAAATGTTGAAATACCTAGTTCGAATTTCCCTTCATCCACTTGTTAAAAAAAACACTAGGTTTTTTACTGCTCTATTGCTGAGTTAAAAACACATGCTGATTAGACTTACAAAATTACAAAATTTATTTAACTTAATTTACTGCTACACTGGTTTAGAAAGAATAACGCTACGGGCACCAACTTATTTACCAACACATTGGCGCATGACATGGCAACCCATGTCATCTGCCATCTCATCTATTTTAATTACATAATTTATTATATAAATAAAAAAATTTCTCACCGAAAACAAAATAGTTAAATATAAAAAATAATTAAATTCTTTTATTTATATAATAAATTATGTAATTAAAATAGATGAGGTGGCAGATGACATGGGTTGCCATGTCATGTGCCACATGTGTTGGTATCCAAGAGTTGGTAAACAAGTTGGTGCCCGTAGCGTTATTGGTTTAGAAATTATGTTTAAGAGTTATGAGAGGGCACGATGCTGAAGCACATAATCTGAAATTTTTTATTTTTTTTGGATTGATACTAGCCTCTTGGATTGGAACACTCTCAATTGACCTTTACTTTTTTCAATTTTTATCAAAAAAAGAGAAGAGTGACAAGTCTCTACATAAATACATATGACAATGATTAATGCATTTACACGCATTTGGAAAAAAAAATACAAATTTATAAATAAACTCAATCTTAGACATGTATTTATAAAAAAATCCAAACACTATTTAAACATAGAAACACACCCAAAATCAACCCCAAAGTCAACAATTGTATATTTTTTGGGTGTGTTTATAAATGGGTTTTGAGTGTGTGTAATGATGAGTTTTGGGTGTGTTTATAAAGTGTTTTGGGTGTTGGGTTTTTTTATAATTTCAGCTTCCATTTTGGGTGTTTTAGTGAAAACTCCCAAAAAAAAATCTTAGCCATTTACACTTTTCATAATGATATAAGAATGGGTGAGAAGGGAGAAAGATTGCAGGAGAGAGGAAGAGGATGGCTAAGTGATACGGTGCAAAAGGAGAGTTTTAATCTAATATAATTATCATTCTGACAAAAAAAAAAATCTAATACAAATATCATGAGGTGGAATAATTAAATTTCATTGGATCAATTAAATGGTTAAGATTTTTTCAAATGCGTACCGATGCTAAATGTAGACACTTACATTGCAAAATTTCTCTTCTACCCAAAAATAATTTATACAAATTCTTTCATTTCACAATGCTGGTAGAATAATAGGCCCATGCACCAGTTTGTATGAAAGGTACCTATGCACATCTTTACAATATCAAAATATGTAAAGGGAGCCCATAATAAAATGAAACTTCCCCATCAAAATTAAAGAAAAAAAGAATGGCGGCTGAAGAGATATGAACATAAAACAAGAAGGCTGAATCAGAGGAAAACACAAAATTTCAGATTCAAAGATACAAAGATAGCTGTTAGAACAAAACAACAGCAGACAGACATGGACTTTTTGGTGGATTGAACTTAAAGCCTGATTCTTTGCTCCAATGCAACACTCAATTCTTACAAGGACTACCAATCTTTCTCTACACATTAACAACCAGCAGCCTTTAAAAAGTTATCATACGGGCTTGATGCAGGTAGCTGAAATCGGGGATAATGCTGGTATTCAGTTGCCCAAAGCGTTTGCCCGTTGCCAACAGATTGGTTGAGTGAAATATCATTTGAATCAAGGAATGGATTTCCACTCTGCAGTCCCAGATTGTTTACAAAATCAGAATGCTTCAGAAGACACTAAGAAGCTAAGTAAAAATTGAGTAGAAACAATATGCATGCACTCAAAGGATTGAATTAAAAATTTAAATGCCAGTTGTATGAGAAAGGAAATACCGTCGGAGCACCCAGCAGAACAACAGAGGGAGTTTCCTTTTGCTGGTTGCAATCATGAGGAGAAAATCTCATCAAACTTTCTTGTCTCAGTTGGGCAGCCACAAAAGTGGAGAATCTCTGCTGCTTCCCCATTTGAAGGGCCTCACAAAGGCCAGCCATTTCCAAATAAGGCATATCTGTAGCAGTTGAGACTGATAATCTTCCAACTTGATGTGTTGTCTCCAAAACCTACATACCACTTTCTTACTTAGCAATATGTTCAAGTAAATGTACCACTAAAGCCGTTGAGACGCCTTGAATCAGAAAATTGGAGAGAGAACAAATGGATGGCAAACGTTCATGTTTTATATGGCATCATATATAATTTCTTGATTATAAACAACAGGGTTTTAAATTTCAGCTATAAAGTTCATGAAGGAATTGATATAAGAAATTGAGGGCTCAAATTCCTTCTCCAGATCCCAATCACAGAGGTAGTTTTCCAGATCTCATGTAAGAAGTGATAAATCGAATTTAAGCTGTATTTGTCACAGTTGCACCACCACCACCTTATACCAACTTTATGAGAACCAACATGACAACCAGGAAAGAAAACTATGACCAAAATTTTCAAAAACTAATTCATCTATATGTTCATTTATTTACTTATTTTCTGTCTGATTTCTGCAAAGGCTGCAAACCCGCAACACTCTGCTAGTGAGCAAGATACCACACTTACCGAATCTAAAAGCTCATCAACACTTATGAGGCTCAGACTTTCCATGGAAAGTTTTTTGTCAGGATCTGTTTGACTTTCAGTTGCATTGGGTAAGACATCATCCTCAATTGTGAATAATGGGGGCTCAACCTGCACGGTAAAACCATTGTGTACACTCAATTGCTTGCACATTATATAAAAACAGAAAAGGAAGGTTGTTCAAGTAACTTACCATATCACGAGTTCCATTATCTTCTATGCCAAATTGGTAAATTTGTATGGGTGTTTCCATGCACAACTGAGTTCCCAACGGACATGCATCATCAGGCAGAAAATCATTAAGCAACTGCTGTCTTATAGTTGATGACTCCTGCAGTACAAAAGTACCACACTCCTCATTAACAAAGAACTAGATATGGTTCCAATAATCAATATGTGATTGGAAGCTTACATTTGGTGAATTTCCCAATGTCTGCACTATCATAGTAGCAAACGATTCCTTAGTTTGGCTCTCAGATATTTCTATGGCAGAAAGTGACCTTAAAGCATCCTCATTATCTTCCTTTGATCCATAAACTTCCCTTACTTGGTCAGGTCCAGAATTGACAGCTTGCAACTTGCAATCGTCAACCAACTGTAGAAATGGATCAACCTGATTCCAAATCATGAAAGCATACAGATCAGTATTGAGTAAGATTACCTTAGGAAACCTTATGTATATGAGCATGGAAACATTTTTTTTCCAAGACTAAGAATATATCTTATGTCAAAGTAGAAATAAGTTAAAAGGTTCCACCAACAATCAATGAAAATGAGGTCTGGCAACTCTGTTGCACCTACCGTTTCATTTGTAAGTGCTACTTTAGCACAAGGAGCAAGAGCAACAATGTTGTAGGCTTTAGCTGAGAAGATGATCATTGATGTTGCCAAGGTAAAGAGAGATCTGCGCCTTGATGGCTGCAATCCTGAAAATGTGAAATCCCCTAATTACAAAGATGACATCACAAAATTTACAACACAAAAGAGTTCTTAGTGATCATTACATTTCAATGCAATGAAGTTAGTTAAAATATGTCCAATCTAGACTTACTAAATTTTAAAATACCTTCATTGTTAAAATCACACCCTTTATCTTTGGGAAAAAAAATGGAATTAGGATATGACAAATAGATGGACACGACTGAAGGAACATTGCTTCTTAGAATACAATGCTTGCCCCTATTTGATAGATATGCTCTCGTCCTTTCATACTAAATATCTTAAGCCACTAATCTCTTGCTATTCAATCAACAAGAAGATTACCATAAAGTGCAAAAGAAGCAAAGATCTTATATAACCTGAGTTAGTTGAGGTTAGGTGAAAAGACGCAAATCAGGTTTACAGCCAAAGCCATACAGCAATTAATCTCCTATTTCTCTACTCATAGTTACTTTTAAATCAAGTCAAACTTGAGTCTCGTGATCAAGTACAAGATTCCTAATTGAAACTCACCATTATCACACATGACTGGCATAATTTCAAAAGACATTCTTCTATAAACTAAATCACGCAGTTAAGGATAGCTTCAGTTATAGGAAGACGGAGGGAAAAATCAACCTGCAAACTTCTCTCAGCTCCTCTGTTAATTACCAGAAACTGAGCTGCTTTACTGAACCTTAATTATTACATAACTTCTACATGATTTCTAAATATCACAGTAGTTGAGCAAGGAATACTAGGTACTACACAATCTAAATCTTGACATGTCACCATAGTATGAGCAATGCATTACGTGGTTAGACTTGGAACCTTAAAAGAAATTATAAACTGCAAAAATGTTGAAAATTTGGACTTGAGAACTTACCTCCTCCAAGAGATATGCTCCTTAAGGAAAAGGCTAGCTGAAAACTTCGGATTAGAGTCTCGTCAGAGGTGTTCTACATGACATAGTGAATCGAAACAAAGTGAAAAATGGGGACCAAATAAGAAAAATAACTAATTATGGATTTCAGGGTAAGTGGATTTTTAACTTGGGAAAATCCTCTAACCTTGAAACTATATAGAGTAATATTAACTACTCCCTAAACACTTATTATAATCAAAACAAGGGGTAAAAAGACTAGCATCTTCATTGTGCCTTGTTATTGCTATAGGCCTTTACGCTTAATCCAAGGGTTGATTGTCACTTGGGTTTAGTTACGAATTAAATGATAGAGTTGATAAGGCTTGATTGGTAGAGCTGATTACTAAGGAATTTATAATACGATTTATTCCTTCATTTGTATAATGAAATACAATGATTTCCTATTTTTGTTTCAACATGGAAAATGGAAGCCATACCTTAGTTCGGGCATATAGCAACACAAGGCTGTAGGTATGAGCAATTGCTTCATAGTTATCAGGCATATTTAAAGGAGAGATGGATTGCACCCAGATTGATGAAAGCAGAAGGGTAATCTGGCGACTGCTTAACCTAAGTGACATTGTCTGCAAAATTAGTCAGATAAAAATCGTCATAACAGAAGATGATGAAGCAATACTATAGTGTTAAATGTACACAGTCTATATAACAGGATAGCAGGGACAACAATTCATACCGATTCTTTATGTGAAATACTCCTAGGTTTTTCATCAGCAGTCGTATTTGATGGATTCCTTTTCATACTGTAGGCTCGGCTGTAAGTTGACTTCAACCGGTTCATCACAGACTGAGAATTGATTGCAGAATCCTCATTACCTACAGAGTCACTAGTAGTTGATTGATGCCTTCTTGAGCTAAATTTGGATTTCAATCTGTTCAACATCGATTCATTAGTAACCTTTGCTTCTTCTTCAATTACAGCGCTGTCCTTCATCTCTTGACAAATGTTTTCTGTGAGGTGGATCGCTCATTTAATTTTTCAAAGAGTGCAGCTGATGAAGAAAATACAGACACCGTTCTCGAGAGTGTCCTTCCTATATCATTTCTTTTTGCAGTGTGGGGAGTAGCAGCACAAGGACGAGGGCAAACAGATGATGGAACAGAACGACAGCAAATATACGGTGTGCACCCACCCTGGTTTCATGGTCTGCACAGACCATAGCTACGAGTAACTGATGAAATAACGCCTCAGGAAAGGTCTACAAAGTTTCAGATATTCAAACCAGAAAATGAAAAGAAAAATAATTAGATGAAACCTTGGCAAGTTTGTGCACTTAATTGTAGATAAGAGGAAGTGATAAACCCGATGCAATCTTGCCTTGTTTTGATATGTCAAATTAGGTATTGTTGCCACAATTTGACCAGTACGGTAAACAGCAGAAATCAAGGTTCTAGACATAATAGTAATGTTAGACATATTTTCTAACATCACAGCCATCATGTCAAGAACAGGACCTGCATCTCCTACCTGCACAATATAAGAGAAATAGAACCTAGCTTATGAGAATAATTATTCCATAAAGTTTTTCCATAACATCTCACAAAAAGGAGGCAATTCTAGATATAATTTACCAAATCCCTACAAGTTTTATGATTGAGTATAAATTGATCTTAAAAAAATAGAAAGGATGTTACAATCACCTTATGTGTTAACTGCACAAGGCATTCATCCACTGCTGCTCGAAAATTTCGGTTCCATTCAATGACTTCGGCCCCCAAATTTGAATCATCAAGTGAGCAATGTATACTTTTGCGCAGGTGTCTCATCATATCACTCAATGCACCAATTATAGCAACTGATGACTGAACCTTTGCTTCTCGAGTAAGAGAGGTGGCAACATCAACAATGTCCAGCTGCATATTTGGGTTTTTAAGAACATTCTTGTGATCAGATGCTTAATTAAGATGGACAATATAAAGTGCCTGTTCTGCCCTGTGAAAAACAGTGCAGAGATCATGAAAATATCAAATTGAAAGATTAAAGCTAATCTCAACACAAAGGAAGACTAGTCAAGTTCCCAGAGTCAACAAGTTCTAAGCAATTTGAAGAAATTTAAATACCACAATTTTCAATTATTAACTGCATATCCATCAAGACACACAATGCGAGCCCATGTTTAGGAGACCAGAGATTGCCACTATCAAAATAGCGGAACAAAGATTCTAATACACGCCGTACGGTTGTAGCTTCCTTGGCTAACTTGGCAATGTTATGCAGGCAAACCCTTGACCAAAATCTGGGGTTATTCATGTCCTCCCTGTAAATGAAAACAAGAAGAAGAAAGGTAGATGTTAGCTATAACACGTTGAAATAGCTAGATATATAACGAAAGTTACAGAAAATTGTGCCAAAAAAAACTACCCTGAGACATTGACTTCGCCTTTTTCACTCACTAGCAGCCTCCAAGACAAAATACTTGTCATGGGTTCTCCTGAAGAAGAAGCTTCTTCTAAACTCCCAGTCTGGGTGTCTGATTATCAAGTATACCAGCATCTGACTTATTCTTTGGACCTCCATAATTTTCCAAGACAACTGAAACAACCTGATTTAGAAATGAAAATAAATGTTATTAGAAGCTAAAGACCATGATTTGAGGCTGGAAAAGGACTATGCAATTAAAAGTTCATAAATTAAACGAGACATGAACAGAGACAGAAAGAAAAAGAATTTGTAAACAATAGTTGATAATCAATGCCTGCCATCCAGTATGTTAGCATCTACTACGGGGTCAAATATTATGGTCATGGAATATTAATCATCAAAAGGTTATTCATCTGCGTGTTTTATTTCTTCCAACAGCTATTGCAACTAACAAGTTGATGATAATATTTAGAAGCTATCCGAGTCAATGAGCATATTTTCCAGTTAGACAAATAGCAATCAAGAAAAGTGATGATGTAATTATAATATTAAAAAAGGTACATAACAATAAAGCCAGCAGAAAATGATACCAAATGAACTTACATTATCAAATCTGATGAAATGTGAGAGAATTCACCCATGAACCAGACCTGCGCACAAAGTACTCTTGTTAGGGTGCATATGATATTCAATTCACCAAGCAGGGGAAGGTCCAATTAAGGATTTCAGATATGAATTGGATCTACAAAAAAAGGAAATATCTAATGTTTATAACCAAGCACTGAGTGCGAGCAGCTGGACATCATGAAATATAAAATGGTATCATTTAAAAACCAGAGATAAGAATCATGAGATTATTTCTGAATTACCATGTAGCATAAGAATTCATTTTACATGTTGCCCAACATTTAATCTTCTTTCCTTAAAGTCTTTGCTATTTCAGGACCATTATGCAAACCCAAAACATAACATTTCTCAAAACATTCTTAGTATTTTAATCCTCTCAGACTGCAGGTCCTTCACTCAGCCAATTTTCATACGTTTTGCCAGTGACATTCTTAATTACTCATATACGCACTCTCTCTCTCCACACCAATAACACTCTTAATTAAGACTTTCGTTATGGAGAAGGAACTTTATGACCATGGCATGCCCAGTATATGCCTGTGAACTCATGAGCTTAAGCTATAGGTGGGTGAGCTCATCTAGTGTATATTATATTATGGAGCCACTTTATTCTATGGGATAACCCATATATGAAACCTCAAAAAATCTCCCTATTCATGTCTGACACCAGAACTACAGGGGACCTGAATCCACTCAGTCTAACTCAGTACCCTCCACAAGAACCAAATCCAGTTACTCTTCCGAGTGCACTATGTGTTTCATCTACATCATACTCTTACGAGAGTCTGATCTTTGAAGAAGGTTCAATGTCACTCTCCATGAGTCAACAATTACCATATTAAGAATCCTGCACCAAAAGTCCACCAGTGGCCCTCAAACTCCAGCTCCAAGAGAGTCCACTAGGGGATATTTAGATCCTGGTCCCTAACCCACTATAAAGCTTATTAGATTTAGTATGTCGAGTCTTTTTTCTTTTCCCTCATTTGATGATTTTTATGTCTATTATTATGTGACAATGTGCATGTTATTACATCACTATTGCCTCAACTTTCAAGGTATTAACTATAATAACTAATACATTTCCTCAAAGTTCAAAATATCATAGATTTCATTCTACATAGCCGTTTCAAATGAAATTTGTGTGTTTAACAAATGCTCGTCAATATCCATCAACCAAGTCCCATGATGATTATAAACTTATGCAGAACAATTCTAATTTGGTATAACAACTTGAACAAAACTTTCACACGTAAGTAACAATGTCAAAATTATCAATTACCAGACCACGTGATATTGAAACAAATATAATATGCAAAACAAGTATCAAATTTACATTGAGGTGAATTACCATTGATGAAAGAGTTTTAAGCCCAGCAGAACGCAAATGCTTTTCCGACCCATCCTCCCTCATTTCTTGAGCTAAGAGACAAAGTTTTGGAATCATGCCATCTAAGTTAAACATGTATGTACCATCCTTCTGCATAATCAAAACGGCCCACCCGAGATTAAAACTTCAAAAGTAATTCATATCCAATTACCGAAAGCAAACACAGACAAACAACAATCTGAAAGATAAAGAACATACCAACGACTCCCACCTGATTATTCACAAACTCAAAAAGAGTTTGGCATCCTAAAATACGTATTTCATCATGCCGTGATTGATCGAGTAGAATTTGTACAATGCTAAGCACACTACTTGCAAACAATGGCCTGCCATGTATTAATGTATCACAACTTGTACATGAAAATCAGTCATTATGCACAACATGAGCTACAAAACAACTCCAAAGGATAGTCTTGTAATTTCCTTTCAACAACATTCAGTATTTAAATGGAAAAGTATTCCAGGAATTTTACTCTAAAACAATAAATGATCTATACGGGATGAGAAAATGACTAGGATGAATCTCAAACTTCGGAATCAGCATATACAATAAAGATAAATAAACCTGAATTTCAGCGTATACAATAAAGGTCAGCCTGAATTCATAGCTAGGTGAATATATTCCAGTCAATCCAACACATGCCAAATCTTCTTCAGTCTAGCAAAAATGTCGTTTGTGCTCTCAATGTTTAGTCATGCCAAATCGGGACATACTACGTCTTGCATCACAATATATAAAATCTTAGGCTATGCCAAATCTACTCAACCTAGCGAAAAAAACCTTGTGTTGTCAATGTAAATTCCTACATGGGACATTCTACGCCTTGCATTGCACTGCATAAAATCATGGGCCTCTCCACTTACTACCAATTGATTTTGTGTCTTCGATGCTCTAACTGTCACATGAAGCCACAACAGGAAAATCATCGACATGTTAGGCCTGATTTGGCTACACATGCTCCATATGTCATCCAACATAACTAATCCTCCACTGAAAATTTTATGCCTTGCATCACAGAGATAAAATTATGGGCCACTCCACTTATTGCCAATTGGTTTTGGATTTGATGCTCTGACTTTAACAATTTTGGATCTCATACATGTGAAACCAAGCTTTAAAAAAGGTAAAGCCTTCATTTATAGTGTGGACTGACTTGTTTAAGTTCTCAAGTTTTCCTAAGTACAGTGTTTAATGCATTCTTCCTTAATGTAGAAGTGCCCCATAATTTTCACAGGGGTAAAGATTCAAATATGCACATTATTTAATGGTCAAATTTCACAACCATAGTACTAAGTAATTCTCATCAGGCTAGGTAGCTAGTGGAAGCATGTCATGAGCACAATGCTTCTATCTTATTGCATTCTCTGGCTTTATAAATTCTGAAAAGAAATGAAAATGGCTCAGCTAGTATGTTGTAATCAACTTAGCACTCCAGCCAATAGGTCTACCTTTTCTCAATATGTTCAGGAATCTGAAAAGAAACATACTAGCAATAACCTTAATAATGTACTCACATTTATTATGAACTAAAGAACTCACATTTGCTCCTTACAAGAGACCAACAACTTCCGGTAGATACACATAACAACTTTCACAGAGTGAAAGTTCTCAGTTCTCAAATCCTTGTAACACCTTTGCTCCAGAGTAGTTGTGATCTGAAGTATGAATTTTTGAACTTCTATCAACACAACAGAATAGTACACAAATGAAAAGTAAAATAAAATCTATAACCTGGAAGATGAAACAAATGAACGAATATTGTTGATAAGAAAAACGATATACCAGAAGAAAAAAAAGGTATGGAATCATTAGATCCAAGTAAACTGAACAAATTAGAACTCTCAAAGCAGCTTTTGAAAATAATGAATCCCCTCTATTTAGAATAAAAAATATATATATATATTTAAGCTCAAAGCATGGTAGCTGCAAAGAAACAAGGTACTGATTTCCATAACTAGGTTTGCTATATATCTTTAACTACAATTCTTGATCATCTTGCCAAAGAGGAGGTATTGTGTCTCAGTCAATCTGCATGTAGAACTACAATATATGCCTTACAAATTTGCCTAGGTCCAGTTCTTTTATCCATATCAATTTAGTGCAGTACTTAATAATAACCACCATTACCAATCTGCATGGGGCAATACTATCTTACAAATTCACCTAGACCCAATAGTTTATCTAGATCACTTTGGTGGAGTATTTAACCACCCTTACAAACGAATGTCCCTCCTCCAAACCAACAGAAAACTTCTAAAGCCATTCAACAGAACACTATTAGCATCTTAACCAGGAGATGCTTACAATTAGCGGCCACTGACCACAAGTATATTTCATTTTTTCTTTCTAGCATCTTCATCTCCTTCACAATAGTCAAAGTGGACAGCAAAAGCATGTGCTGCTAGGATTTTGAAAGCGCTCCTCGAACAAAATAATCTGCCTTCAGCCTTCTTTCACACATATTCATCTTCCATTCTTATGGCCATTAGATTCATTCATAAAAGTCCCATTCCAACCCCTTAAGCTTCCATAGTCATTGAAACTATATGCAAACTTAAGCATATGCAGGAAACTAGAAATTATCTCCTTGTCAATTCAACAACCTTCACTTCTGAATTCCTAAACACATGATGCCTCTTATCACATAGTACTGTAACACTAATCCCATATTAGCATTTAATTTTCTGTTTAATTAGTTAAAGTCGTACAAAATTCTAAGGAAATTCAACCCACACCCAAATTTGAATTATGTGAGCAGCTGCAATTTCAGCTCCAGATTATCACTTCAGTTCGTGTTAACAATGTAAACCATATTTCATACATATATAATGAGCAGAGGTAGCACCTTGGGATACGAAGAGGAGTTTTTGAGGCATATTCACATAGTTTACTGATCTTACGATCATTTGGTTCTTCATCCTGCCAAAATAGGAGGGAAAAATTCCAATAACACAAACTGAAGGAACTGGCATAAAATGAGAATTGTAACATAAAAACCAGTTATGCTGAAAGACTAATTAAACAGCCCAAATCCAAATAAATATCAATTTAAATACCAAATTCTGGCATGCCGAGTGATGATTTTTCAGACAGACAAGAAAAAAAAATCAATTTAAATACCAAATTGTGGAGAATTTTCAGATAACACATTGGTAATACAATTAGAACCGTAAAGCATAACCTATTTGATATGTAACTTTTATTTAGCAAGAAGAACATAATACAAGACCATGGTTTTCCTTTTGTTTCACCATATTTTCTGACGTGATCATGTATAGAATAAATAAAGAAAAACTTGTTCATTTCTTGGGAAGCAAGTTACTTTTTAACATAAATCAAATTTCAGTCCTATTTTCACAAGATCCCCAAACACAAGAACCAAAAGTTCCCACATTGCTTCTGTATACAATTGTGATTTCTTTCACTTTGTAGCATAAAAATCAATTTTGTTGAGAATTTCCACTACCCACATTAGAAATAAAAAAAAAAAAATAAAAGAAATTCACCGGAGACCGAGGAAATATCTCGGCGAGCAGCTCTCTGTCGTATCGTTTTTGACCGGGATGCCGTGATCTCGCACGCAATGCAGGGCAAAAGAAACAGAGACTTTCACAAACAGGGAACACTTGCCTTGAAATCACACCCATCTGTCTTCAACCTAAGTCTCAATTTCTCAAAGCCTATACAAAATATACGTATACATGTACGTTCGTATATGTAATGTATAATGTACGTATGTATGCGTTGTGAAAAGGATTTCAATTTCGATGAGATGGGATGGGAATTCGTTTAATTTTTTTTATAATTGTTTTTGAGTCTGAGAGGGAGATTGGGAATTGAAATCCTGGAAAAGGATTGTGAAATTTGCGAAAAGGTGGTGGTGGTGGTTGGGGTTATGCCTCCGGGGATCGGACGGTGGAGATGGTAGGAGGGAGAAGAAGAATGAGTGCGAGAGCACCGGATCACCGAGGTTCACCACCGGAGGAGGAATGTGTTAAAAAAGAAAAAAAATTTGTACTCTCTCCCTCTGTCTCTCTCTTCTTTCGTATAAATAGTTTTGGGGGTTTTATATACGAAATAGTTATTACTGCAACGGCTATATTTGGCACTCTCTTTTGTTTTATTTTGGTTTTCGTATTTTTGTTCTATTTTGCTAACCCATAACTTTAATTGTGGACTCTTCTAGGCTTGGAGTTGTAGAACTTTTGGAGAATGGGTACATGAGTGAAATGATTGCCCAAAAACACGTTTTTAGTGCATGTAATTCACAAAGTATCATTTTCGTCTTTATATGTTCAATTGCATTGAATTTAGTCTCTATGATTTGTAAATTGTTTACTGTCGTTAATTCTTGAAGCGATAACTTTGGGGATTCTAAGCCTCTATATTTTGATTTCATACATTTACCCTTATTTCACAAAATCTTGACCATTCTAATAATCTAACCGTTTAAAGACATGACATGTACAACATAAATGTTTAATTTTCCTTTTCATTAGACAATTATTTAATTGTATAAACAATAAAAATAAAAGAAAAATCCACTCCCTTTCCACAAAAAGTGAGGTCGAAAGGTGAGGGGAAGGAGGAGCTGCGAGGAATATATATATATATATATATAACTATTAGTCTATTGAGGAATTTCTCAAATAATTTTATTTAATGACACCCTTTAGGGTTCCTTATAAAAAATAATAATAATAATAAATCAATGATCCAAACAATCTAATTTTCACATCTTCATTCATAGATCATCCTTGCAAAAAATCATGCAAATTGAAAACCATTAAGGCATCTAATTGAGACCAATAAAATCTATGAACGCGGTGATTTAAGAAAGTATTTAAATTTAATAATTTAATTGAGTGGTCAAATGATATCGGATTCAAGTGAATTTTTGTAGAGATTATCTTTGAACGAATGTCTACAAAATAGATGGTTTGGATTAGTAAAATACAATGTGGAGTAGGCCCTACGAAGGTGTCCCTTAAGTACTCTTTTTGATTAACAATGTCAAAATATATGTTTACAAAAAAGGGAATGAAGTAGATGGAGGTTTTTCTAGCTTTTCTTCTCTAAGTCAAGAAGTGGCCGTCTCAATCTTCTTGGAATCTTCCGCAAGAGATATATATATATATATATATATGTATATAGTTCCCTTCTATTGAGGGATACCTTTTAGAGTACCCTACGAAATTTTTTTCAACGATCCAAACAATCTATTTTTTAGATCTTCATTCATAGATCATCCTTGCAAAAAATTAGATAGATCGGAAACCGTTTCGATATCCAATTGTGTCCTACAAAATTAATGAATACGGTGCTTCAAAAAAGTACTAAAATTTCAATAATTTAATTGAGTGGTCAAATAATATCAGATTTAAGTGATTTTTTTTTGTAGAGATGATCTTTGAATGAGTATCTACAAAATATACGGTTTGGATTAATGAAATACATTACGAAGTGGGCCCTACAAAAGTGTCTCAATATATATATATATATAGAGAGAGAGAGAGAGAGAAACTTGTTCTCTACTACGGACGTCCGTATTTTTTCAAAACGTCTAGACTACTTGTTCTTTTGCCTTCTTTGTGCTAATAAATCAACCCAAACACTTTTATCACTTTTCTTGGTAAAGGTAGAATATAAACCATGCTATGCCAATACTTAAAAGTCAAACATCACCTCTAGATTGGGCTTTTCCTTCGTTGGTGGACTATAGAGAGATTTTGGAGACTGTTATGGGTGCTTTAGTGTCTTTTTTTTCAATGATAAAGAAGAGAGATGCAGAAAACAAAATGGAAATGATTTCCTTTCCATTGAATGAATGAATTCATTCTGATCATGTGAAAAAACGAAACAAGTCCGGACATTAAGCAATTCTGGATGTCCGCACTAGAGAATAGTCATATATATATATATATATATATATATATATGGAGAGAGAGAGAGAGAGAGATGATCAGACTATGACGATTTATGCGTAATTTACGCCGCCACCATTATGATCAAGTATGATCTAACTATGACGATTGAGGAGGTCGATGGTATCTTGAGACGTCTATGACCCAGTTTTTTGGATTTGGCTCACATTCACAGTTAAATGTTTCTTTTAGAGAGTGTGTGGTTATGTTGACAAAGATCTATGTTGTGTCTTATTGCTTTATGAGAACCTAATGCAAGATAATCTTTAAATCCCAGATTTAAAAAAAATAAATCTGATTTATAATATTTATATACATGACAATTAAATCCGTAGGAAATATGTACTCATGGGCTCGGCCCCGGCCACTTCAATCCACAGGGTGGGGTCCATATGATAATTTCTATAATGTTTAGTATACATAAAAATATAGTTATATTCTTATATTTGTGAGAATATGTAGAGTCTAAAATGTTGGCATATTCACATATGAATATTAGCAAATGACCCACTAGTGTAATGATTTGGAGCACATGCTCTCTAATGATAGGTTTTGGGTTCGAGTCCTAACATCCGTACAGTGTGTGAATTTACTAATTTAGTATGCTATTATTGCCCCTCTTAATAAGAAATGTCCTCAAAAATAAAATAAAAATAATTAGAGAGAGCATTCGAACTTGGTGCTGTTCTAAATTTTGGAAAGAAAAATGTACTTTATTATTAGTAAGGAATGTGGTTCAAATTTGGGATCTTTTCCAACATTGGGAAGAGATCAATGACTACTTGGTAAATTAGTCAATTACATTATCTTATTAAATATTTCTAGCTAGGCCCTACCATTATGTATTAACAAAAAAATCTTCCTTGTTCTATTTCAGACACCCTACTCGAGATAAAGAAAAAAAACTTTGATCGAGGCCTCTAAGGCCTTCTCCAACCTATTTGGGGCTAAACCCAAATTTTCTCCCTTCCAAAAAGTAAATATTTAGGTTTTGCCCAGACTCAAATCGTTTTCCTCCCAACCCTCCAGACTCAAATTTTAAGTTTGCAATTTTATTAAATTGTTTAAGAATTGTTTAAGTCCATTTTTTTAATGAATAACTTTTCTTCATTTAATCTTTTTAAATAACTTCATAATTTAATTTTTTTGAACAATTTGACCTAAAAAATTTGCAATTCCACAAATATAATTTTATTCCAAAAGAAAACACACAACATAATTCTACAAGAAAACACACAATACTTCAAATTCACCATACATGAAACCCCATAGGAATAAACTAATAACCACCATTGTGGGGGCTTGGATAATAGTCCCCTGAGTTGTATTCAGGATTAACTATTGACTGTTGACTCTGTGCATGTTCTTGCATAATTTCATCTTGTTTATCCCCCAATACTTCTTCTTTCATGGAGTAAATTTGGACACGTCCACGGACATTACTTTTGTTCTTGGGCTTCCTTATCTTGTTGCTTCTGATACGCATAAGCATCAGCTTGATCTTGGACAAACTTGGCCAATATCTTGAGCTTTCATCTCCTATCCTTCTCAAAAGCAATAGCAATAATTCCAAGTACTTAGAGCATCCACAATGGGTTCTCTAAACCACCTCCTTAGACAAATTTTAAGGAGGAATCATAAAAATGCAACTCCAACCATGCTCCCTATCCACCTCCTAAAATAGGGAGTCCTCTAGGAGCTCCTAAATCTGAGGAGAGAGAAAGGACTCCTAGTGGCTCCTTATAATTTAATGCTTCTTTATTTAATGAGTATTTCAAACCTTTATTTAATGCTAATTATTTTTTATTTTATTTTATAATAAAGATGGACCAATCAAAAAACAGTTATAGCATTTATGACTCTCAAAATTAGGGAGTATGGTTGGAGTTGAAATTTTTTAGAGAGCTCCTAAAATAGTTTTCTTATATTTTTAGCTAAGAAATAGAGAGCATCATTGTGGATGCTCTTATCCCTTGTTTGTTGAAGAGGGTCAGCCATCTTCCTTTTGTGTGTGTGTGTGCAGCCTTTTGTTTATCTTGCCCTCAAGCTTTGGACTAGGCATGGTGATATCGTCTGCATCATTATCCAAATTTACCATACTTGCACTAGCTCCAGAAAAATGTTGTGTGGGAGGCTTATTTATATCGTTCCACTTTGGGCAATCTTTTAAGATTTCCCAAGCATGGTACTACTTGAAAGGCTTATTTGGAGGCTTATTATTATTAAGAAAGATCATTTTCGCATACACGTCCTACGCATGAAAAAATAAATTTAAGTTTAGAGTTGAATAAAATTACAAATATAAATTTAAAGCTTTAATAAGAATGGTTACTTACCACATCATGTAGATTTGAGCCACTGTGGGTTCATATTGGCTTTAGTCAAGCATGCCTTCCAAAGAGAATACTGTTGGTTGATAGTCTTGAACCGAAAAGTAATGGTTTGATATGTTTGTTGCTCGGGTCCACTAATGCCCGGATCATTTTCCGAAAACTTTTGATATACACACTTCCAAAATGTGTCATTTGCTTGATTGGTGCCAATAGCCCCATCTTCACTGACGAAAACCCACCCTTTGCACAATGCCTCATCTTCTTCGAGCCTCCAATTCACACCTCTTTGAGATTTTGTGAACATCTGAAACAAGAATGAAAGGAGATTGATGAAATTGACAAAGAAAAAATAAATTGAGAAATAGAAAAAAAATATTTTTGGTAGATTAATTGAGAAATGGGTGAGTATTTATAGAGTTTGGAGTGAGTTTTGGGATTGTATATGATTTAGATTAATTTAAAATATTTGACCGTTGGATAATTTTTTTTCTAACTGTTAAAATAACTTAGATTTAATCTTATTGTTAATTTAAATTACTATTAGAATATAAAGAAAACTAGATTTGAATTGTTGTTGTTGGATTCCAACGGCAACATAACCAAAATGTGACATGTGGGAGGCTGTTGCATCAGGCAGCAAACAAGAACTATAGCGTTGGTCCCAGCGCGGGCCCTAATATGATTTCTTGCACATGGGATGCACCAGCAGCAGGTGGGCTCCACTGAAATTTTTTTGGGTCTAAGCAATACCTAGACTACTATTTGGCTCCAAGTTTGGGTTTTCCCAAATTTTGGCCCCTTCATTTTCTTAGGTTGAAAGAGGTTTTGGGTTTGGCCTCATGGGTTGGTGATGACCTAAGAGCATCTTCATGGGAGATGTCAAGTGCAAAATGTTAAATTTGAATTTGACAGCTTATGTGGCAATTTGATACTTAAGAAAATATTTAACTCCACCAGAAATGCCAAATATCATATTATTTTATTGTTAAAAGCAAATGGAGCCATATGATGCATAAAGTTTTAAAAGAAAGTAAATGATAGTGGGATCTATAACTAAAAAATTATTAAAAAAATAATTGACATCAAGCTTTTTGATATGTTATTTTTGACATATCTCTTCTAGCTTTCAAATCCATGTAAGATTTGACTACTTGGTTGGAGCAACTTTAACCTTTAAATTTTGCCATTTTATGTCCATATGACAATTTGACATATCGGTGGGAGATGCTCTAATATGAAGACAATATACTTTTTCTTCTTTTATTTTTCAAATGGAATCTAAATTTTGAGAAGAGAAGAGCGAGAGTCAAATTCTGGTTGTGGTTTGTGATCAAATATTTTCTTATCACTAGAGTTATATAAGTCACCTTACCAACTGGATTAGCTAGCACATTATTTCTTACGTGTATTAAGATTTGCAAGAAAGAAATTGTTGCATATATATACATGACAATTAAATCCGTAGGAATATGAACAAAATTTAATTATGGAAAAAGTGGGGAAAAGTATATAAGGGTTAATTTGAAATCCAGTAATTTTATTTTATTTTTGGCCAAAAAATCCATTAGTTTCTTAACTAATCAAATTTATATGTGGATTTATTAACATAGAAAGTAGTATTTTAATTCAAAAATTCCCATTTGTTTGCATTTTATTTAAAAGTTGTATTATTTCTACCATTGTAAATGGCTCTCTCTCCTAGCCGCTCTCCTTTAATTTCTCCACAAACAAAGCCTTTTAATCAGAACCACAAACTCATCCTGCGAAAAGCCAAGGTAGAGAGAGAAATGGTGGCATTGATGATCATTTGCAAACTTTCAGACGAAAAAAGAAAAATCTTTTGCAAACAAAAACGCAAAAGAAGAAAGCTCAGGACAAAGATTGAGAAAAAGCAAGAGAACAAAAAAACATGGGCAGCAAGAAAAAAATCCATAGTTTCCAGAAAATTTCAATTGTTGGACCATGCACACTAAAGTTGAAAGAGCTTTTTGGAAAAGTAGCCAAGTATGCTTTTGGTTTCTTCTTAATGTATGCTCTGTGCAATATATCGCACTTCCTGTTAAAGCCATATTCTCAGCCTCGCATTACCTCTGACACCGTTGTAAGCCTCTCTCTCTCTCTCTCTCTCTCTCTCTCTCTCAAGACTTGTATTAAACTCTCTTTTTTATTTTCCAATTTTTTTTGGGGTCATTTTGAGAGGTTGCCAATGAAATTACTGATGAATTGAAACCATCCCCAACCATTGGCACATATAGCTTGTTATGAATGATTGGCAATACATATGAGCGGGAAATGTTATTCTCACTCTGAGTTTGTCATTCTGCACTCGTTTTGCGAGTATTTTATAATAATTAATTTTGGAGTGCAGAATGACATTATGGAAGCGTATAGCTGGCTGGCTATGATGATATGTGTGATCATATGGTCATGCCTTTATAGGGGCATTCTTTTGTTTTAATATTTACCTTTCATATCAGTCATTGGGACTCTAATTTAGATTGCCCTTAACAGGGTGATGAAGATTGTTCTTGTCATATCAGTCTACTTGGTTGTAAATGTAGTGAACAAGTCATGACAACAAAAAGAGAAAAAAAAAAAAAAAAAAAAAAAAAAAAAAAAAAAAAAAAAAACCCCTTAAGCACCAGCATTTAATTGGTCTTTTTCAGTTAGAACTTTGGTCCCTTACGTTCTATGCTATTGATTTCGACTCTTGACGACATCAGTTGTAGCTCTTCCTAGGAGGAGGACAAGTTATTTGGTCTAGAGACCATAAGCAGAGAGAAGACATCTTGTATGTAGTTATGATGAATTCAAAAGAAAGCCCTTCAATAAGCCTTCTTATGAGTATTTTTCTTCAGCATCCAGACTAGTAGTAAATTTGATCAGATAAAGACTTCCTTATTCTAACGAGGCCTATTTCATAATTTTGTATGTCCTGTGGATAAGACTTATGCCCTTTACTTATTTGTAGTGTAAATTCTGCATTAAAAGAGTAGCAGTTTCGTATATAAAAAATTTAAAGCCTGTTCCTGCCACACCTTTCATCTTTATGACAAAAAGGGTGCCATTTTTGTTGGTCATTCTTGATAAGAACTATGCTATTATGGGTGCTGTTTTCTTTATGATGCTACTCACTGCCTACAATTGTGATTAAATTCTCATCTCTTATGGTATGCAGATAGGACTGCTCATTGGAAACATAGGGTTCATACGCAATCAAGTAACAGATTCAGCGAGTAAAACATTGAATTTCATAGTTGATTTTGGCATGATCTGCTATATGTTTGTGTTAGGCATAGAAATGAATCCGTATATACTCTTTAAGGAACCAACCAAGGATGCTAAGGTGGCCTATGGTGGTATGCTCTCCACATTCATCCTAGCCTGTGCCATAACCCCATTTATGCATTTTACAGAAGGTTTCAAGGTCGACTTCACTCTCTCCCTCTCCACGGTCCTCTCTAGCACAGCCTCTCCAGTGTTGACACGTCTGATAACAAGTCTCAAAATAGGAAAGTCAGACATAGGCCAGTTGGTCATTGCTGCAGGAATGCATGCTGATTTTGTAACCACTCTTCTCCTCTCCATTGGCTATGTCTTTTGCCCTGTTGAATATGGCAATAAAGTTGTAGAGACTTCAAAGCGCGTTCGGAGATCCATTGAAATGGGTTCTGCATTAGTAATCCAGACACTTTTCGCTGCATATGTTTCACCATTCTTCATGAACTGGGTCAACAATGAAAATCCGGAAGGCAAACCCATAAAAGGTTCACACCTAGTGCTTGCTCTTGCTTTCATGGCCTTGGTCATTTCCTGCTCACCAATTTATGGATACAGTCCTGTTTTGAGTGCATTTATGGCAGGAACCTTTTTACCAAGGGAGGGAAGAGTCTCAAAATGGGTAGTAGGCAAGATCAATTACTTGTTAACTACCATTTTCTATCCCATTTTTTTCTTTTGGATGGGGTACGAAGCTGTGTTCAAGGATTTTCAACCTGGCCAATTCGGGACATGGGGAAGGTTATTTGTAGTTTTTGCTATAGCAACAATTGGAAAAGTTACTGGAACAGTCATCTCTGGAAAGCTGTTGGGGTTTAACTGGCCGGAATCTGTTGCACTTGGGCTTCTTCTCACTACCAAAGGCCATTTTCACATATACTTGGCCATTGCTGCAAAAACAGTTAGTCTCTGACCTCTATTTTTTGTTCCCTCATGTGCTTTCTTTTTTCCTTCCCCAATTTTCATGTGTTGTGATACTAACTTCCTCTGATGCATTTTTTACTTATTAATGGCACGGTTTAAACATAACTGAAGCTTGTGACAGAAAATTATAGTAGATATATAACTTATAACTATACATCAACAACAATTTTCATGCCTATTGGGACCAGCTTCACTGTTTGAACCATCCTGATCTTCTTGCTTTTTGCCCTTCTGATCACATGCAGGCTGGGAAAACGTCTACTTCAACCAGCACTGTGATGGTGATAGCTATCTTTTTCACTGTTGTGCATGCCCCATCAGTCGTGGCTCAAATCATCAAGCGTGCAAGGAAACGGGTACCTACTCATCGAATGTCGCTTCAGTTGCTTGACCCTTCAAGTGAACTCCGCATATTACTATGCCTTAATGGGCTTCAAAATGTGTGTACTACCATTAACTTCATTGAGATATCTAGAGGGACAGCTGACCCTGGTATTTTGGTATATGTAACCGACATGATAGAACTCACAGACGAAATCGCAGCCACACTGGTCAAAGAAGAAGGAGTGGACACCATGACTGTGACTCACACAGGAGTAAAAGAAATGAGAGATCAAGTCACAACTGCAGTTCAAGCCTATGTAGGGGAGAGCGGAGAAGGTATCACACTTAGACGATTGCTGGCACTCTCGACTTTCAATGGCTTGCCCCAGGATATTTGCATTTTGGCAGAGGACTCAATGGTAGCCCTCATCATATTGCCATTTCACAAGGTCCAACGCGAAGATGGAACCTTGGATAACGGTCATTCTGGTTTCAGATATGTGAATCGTAAGGTAATGTATATCAGAAAACTGGATTATCTTTCAATCAGCTAAATATTATATCGAGAATTAACAAAATTCATTCCGATAGTTGGTCAGGCATACCAAAATGTATCAACAAAATAGTTAAATACTTCTAGCAACATGATCGTATGTTTGGAACAATTATAGATTTAAACTTTGCACTTGGAAGTATATATTTAGACATGTATGATACCATCACTGATGTAATCTCTAATTTACATTAGGGATTTCGGTTTATGTCTTGAAGAATTAGTCACAGAGATAAGCATGTAAAGTTAAGTCTCATATTTCCAACCTTTTAGTTACATAGTATATGCTAAACGCAATGCTAATTAGTAAGGTCATATTACATATTGACTATGAATATAAAGGAGGTGATGTCTTAGATATCTGCTTATATTTCCAAGTTCATTCACATTTCTACAGACATATCTGCTATGACATACTTTCCATTTATCAATTAATGATAATTATGGTATTAACAGGTCCTCAAGAATGCTCCGTGCTCTGTGGGAATTCTTGTAGACAGAGGTCTTGGATTGATTGAAAAACTACGAAGAACTTATGATCATTCTGTCAGTGTAGCAGTCATCTTTATTGGTGGTAAAGACGATAGAGAAGCACTTGCCTATGCTGGTCGTGTAGCACGACATTCGGGTGTAAAACTCACAGTCATAAGATTCTTGGTTGATGCTAGCTCAGAGGCAGCAACTAGACCCGGGAATTACACAGTCAGCTCTTCTGAGAAAGAAGAGGAAATGAAGCTTGATGATGAGTGCTTTGCTAGCTTCTATGAGAGACATGTGTCATGTGGGCAAGTTGCTTACATGGAGAAGCATCTTGCCAATTCTGCTGAAACCTATACTACCTTGAGGGCATTGGATGGGCAGTACTCACTCATTATAGTGGGAAGAGGGGAAAGAGTGAATTCGGTTTTGACGTTTGGGATGAATGACTGGCAGCAATGTCCAGAGTTGGGTCCAATTGGGGATGTTCTATCAGGTTCTGATTTCTCAGCCATAACTTCAGTTTTGATCATCCAAGAAAACAGTCTAAAAGGACAATTAGATGGGCTTGATGATGACTTTTCTATCATGTAAATGTATCAAACATAGCAAAAGATAGCTTAGAGTTTTAGATACCAATTGTAGCAAGGAACCAAATGGTCTGTGAAAATCATAGTTTGTAGAAATTTAGGAGCCATTTGAAAAAGAAAAGAAAATGGCAGGAAAAAAAGGTTAGAAATTACAGAGGTAGTGTAAACTGTAAATCAACAAATGAATGGTTGACTATGGATAGAAACTCATTTCTGTCTGGAAGAGTGCTACAAGAAGTTGCTTATTTTCTACAATTAAGTTATTCAGACATCGAAAGGAAGAAGTGACTTCAATGGCCCCCAAAATGTGCTCATATGCTTGAAAGCATACTGCTTTCGAAATATTAGGTTGTGAGATAAAGTTGACTCCTTTAAAATCCTGATCAATTACCCATGGACTTTTAAAATCCTTTAAACTCCATTAGAGTTCCCAATTGAATACACTCCCAAACTTATTTTGCTGGAATGAAAGTAGAATGGGTGAGATTCAGTTCTCATATTTAGGATGCACAATCTTGGAAATGTACTACCTTTACATGGAATGTGGTATCCATGAAAACCAATGAGCCACCTTGGGTTTTGTCATTCCTCTAACAGCATGTTTATTTATGATGGGAAAAGTAATGAATTGTGGAAGTTATAATTTATGAGATAGAAGAAATGGATATGAGATCAACTACCAACCTAATTCATGGCTTTTCAGGTTTTGGATTATGGATTATGCTGTAGAATCTAAATAATTTATTTATTTATAGTCATGATGTGTTAGTAAATGCATGAGAATCAGAAATCGAAAGAATTCTAATACCCATTTCAGGTATGCCATTAGAACCTTCTATGACAAAATTCTTCTTCTTTAAATTAAAATCCATTTCTAAATAGGAAGTACAAATTATTTTAAATATTTTGTGAATAATTATTGGAAAATAAAACAAAGTTCGGTTTCCACATTTGGATAAAGTGATTCCAAATCTATGGATTTAGATGATAGGTTAAATCATAAGATTATATTATCCATATGTATACCAGGATTCGAATGAGAAGGAAATGAATTTCAAATGACTCATTCCGTATGATCATTTTAAACCAATTCAAAATATATTGCATTTAGTTATTTCAAATACACTGAATCTAATGTTTTCTAGTATTTTTTTTTAATTAATTTTATTTCTAGCAAATTTAGCATTTTTGTCAAATCTTCAAATTTATTCTTTCAAATTCCTCCATCCCAATGCAGCATGTACTGTGTACTATCAAACATTGAAGTAGTAATAGATTATTTCATGATTACCATTTTCAACCTTACCAAACTTTCTAAGGGGAATATGATGATATTCCCAAAAAAACTCATCTCGCGAAACTTAATTGTATGTGGCCAAAACAAGAATGAAGATGATTTTCCCAAATGGAAGATGAAAGTTGAAAGCGAGAATATAGGGTCATGCTAAGGAGACCATATTATTAGACTACCTACCACCTCTCTAACGCATAATGATCATACGGCTAAGGTACTAAAGTGGACCATATTATCATTGTACTCTTGCCCTTTATATATATTTATATTTTTTACTTTGGTCTAGCATATTTTAAATCTTGTTATATCCTGTAATTAACTAACTAACAGTTGCAATTAAAGTTAAATTTTCTGTTAAATTAATTTAAAAAATTCCGATACAACGGGTATATACAAAAGTTACTTCGATGTTACACATACGAGTGTAATACTTTACAATAACACAAAAGAATTGACGAAAAATATTTAATTTTGTATAAATTCGAATTGTTAATAAAAACATGAATAAAATTGAGAAAATGGAAACTACAACCACAATAAAAACATGACTCGATTGCATATTCCACCAAAAAAAGAAATGAAAAAAAAAAAAAAAAAAAAAAAAAAAAAAAAAAAAAAAAAAAAAATTCATTGTTCTCTTCTTGGAACAGCGACACATAAAGCCCAAAGGCATATGACACGTACGAGGCCCTCGCCCAATTACCATATAAACCCAAACCTAACAAATAAACTCAACAACAAACAAGGCCGCAGAAGAAAAAGCCCTCTTTCTTTCCTGTTCTCTCTCGCTCGCTCGCTCGTTCGCTGACTCGCCTCACAACAATCTTCGTCAGCGAATTATCACACAGTCACCCCACTCATCACACCTAATTGTAATTGAAACTTTTATTTATATTTTTTATTTTGGTTTTTAATTTGGCTTTTATTTTCCAAGTAAAAATTTTGGGAGGGAGGGAGGGCGATCCCTAAACCCAAAATTTTTTCAAATCTAAATCTTCTCTCGCAATATGGCATTTCACGTCGCTTGCCCAATTACATGGTACCCTCTCTATCTATTCTCTTCTCTCTCTAAAACCTCTATTTCTTTCTTTTTCTTCTTCTTCCTCTCTTCTCGTTTCTATCTTTCTCGTTTACTTCTTCTTCAAACTTCTCATTGTTTTCTCTCTGTCTCTGTTTGTTTTGGTTTTTTCTTTTTCCCATTGAAGCCGCCGAATCTGCGACTGTCCGCTAGGGTTTCCTCGCACTCTCGCCACCGACAATGCCAAGACCTTGTTCCTCCAAGACGTGCTTCGAGTCCACGACTTTCTCATCGATCCCACCGGAATTAGGGCTCGCGACGAAGGCAAAACCGTCCAGGTCGCCGTTCCGAGAGTTGCGCCGCCGCCTCCTCCTCCTCAGCCGGTTCTCCCATCGATCGTCGGTGATGTTGCCGTTGTTGTTGATGATGAGTCGGCGGCCGCGGCCTCCGCTCAGGCCAAGAGGGCCGCGCTCCAGCGCAAGGCTGCAGCAGATATGGTCGCGGCGGAGGACTTCGTTCGGCGATTCGAGTCCGGTTATTTGTCGGTGAGGTTCTTGAAATTTACCGCTTGTGATTATTGCATTTTTTTTTTTGAAGTGCAAGTGTTTTGGAGCAAAATTATAGGATAATCTTGGTATTTATTTTGTATCTGAATCCATGTTATCGGTAGTGTTGATTGTAAAAGAATGCTGAATGCTGAAATTTTTTTGGCTAATGCTGCAACAAAGTAACTTTTCCCCGGTTGCTTTCGTGTTTATTTTCAGTTTGCCATGTGGTGGAATGATTTCGGATATTTAATAATTGGGAGTTTCCATAAATTTGGCTTCCATTCATTAGGGCATATCATATGTTTGTCTATGTTTGTTAAAGAAATGCATCTCATTTTGGATTTTTATTTATAAGGAAGCTTTGAATATCTTTTAATTAATGTACACTTGGTCTATCTTTTAAGTTCAAATTGAATTGGAATGAAGACATTGATATCTTTTATACTTTTGGAAAAAAATTTGTTAGAAGACAGAGGGTGGATTTTTAAGGTCTTATACAAGGCATTTAATGTTTGAAGAACACTAGCACTGGTCGTAAAAGAAATTAAGAGAGAGAAAGAAAACACTTTACAATAGAGCGGATGTTTTTAGGGTCATCCAAAGTTGTTGCAGCACTTTTAGCTGGAAAAAAAAGCTGTGAAGTAGCTTTTCTATGATAGTGCGCATAAAGAGTTTACCTTCTTTTGGCATAAATTTCCCTAATGAGTCGTAAGAAGACTTTCTGCTTATGAATGACTGGATACAGCGTACCTTGTAAGGACGGGAGTTGAAAATCCATCATGATATGTTGAACAGCCCATAGCTCCCATTACCTGCCTTTCCTAGAGTATCTACTCAAAAAAGCAATTTGATTGATGGGATTTGGTATGATACTTATGAAATCGACGATATCAATGAGATTGATTTCAAATATTTCTTCTTAGAGTGTATTGATTTGATCCCATAAGTGGGACCCCCACCCTATAGCATGTTGCTGCAGAAGCAGAACCCCGTCAAAAGAATCTGACTGCTAATCGAGGTCGGGAGCCTTTGTGTTTGCTTTTCTTGGGACACGTGCTGCCACTATGAATTTTGCAGTTTTGCTTAATGTCAAATCCTTTTGAGGATTAATTTTTTTTTTTGGGGGCGTTGATATCTTACTGTTCTTTGTGCCCTGGTATATGTTCTCTCTGTATTTGTTACATTGGAAATACTGGGTTCTTTTTGCTTTTAACAGGATACCTCAAGAGGCGTTGTGCGAGAAGAACAGGCTCAGTCCAATGTCAATGTCATGTGCCGGATATGTTTTTGTGGTGAAAACGAAGGAAGTGAGAGAGCAAGAAGGATGCTTCCATGCAAAACCTGTGGCAAGAAGTACCACAGGAACTGCATAAAAGTCTGGTCTCAACACAGAGGTGAGACTACTGTTCCAATTTTCATTTTTATTTTTAATGAGGCTACAAATTTCAGGTAATAAAATTGATGGGACTTCTTTGTAGATCTATTTCACTGGAGTTCATGGACATGCCCCTTGTGCCGAATTTGTGAGGTAATGCGTGACTTGCAGTATTCATCCAATGCTCTGTTTTTCTTGCTCTACAAAATTTTTATGTTTCCATTCTTCAATGCACACCAATCATGTATTTTTGGTATTCTTCTGTTATGTGATGCATATGTGAGCTATGGTGGTCAAGTAGTTGAATTTGTATGTGAAATAGAATTAAGAATATGAAAGTTAGATTCATGCCCTTATCATTTAATACAAACACTAATCTTTACAACATCTTATGCTGATATGGTGTTCCTACAATAGAGTCATCACTTTTTAGCAGTAAAGTGAACATTAGCATGCTTACTTTTGCTTTTAATCCGTGTAGATCTTACACATGTACAACTCTTGTTTCTTCAGGTATGCCGAAGAACAGGAGATCCAAACAAGCTTATGTTCTGCAAGAGGTGTGATGGTGCTTACCATTGTTACTGCCAGCATCCTTCACACAAGGTGGGGTGTTCACTGCTTATTCCTGAGTTTATATATTGGCTAGGAAATATGCTTATATTTATTGATTCATGATGCAGAATGTTTCTCCTGGACCTTATGTGTGCCCAAAACATACACAGTGTCACAGCTGTGGGTCAAAAGTCCCAGGAAATGGCTTAAGTGTAAGGTATTAGTTCTTAATGTTTTACACTGTGAGTTTATCTTCTGTCTAGGAGCATGTTAAGATGATGATTGCTATTTTTCTTCCGTGGTTTGTGAAACTTTGTAGTATCATAATTCTTTTCGTTGAGCACCCTTCTATAACTTAGATTGTTCTTCCGATAATCAGGACTGCCGGCACCATGCCCATTTGTGGGATACCATCTGTTTAAACCCTTTTATGCTTGTGTATAGAGTTTGACACTTACACCTCATTTTTGTATTATGGTGTTTTTCTTTTGGTATAGTTTTAATACCTCAATGAAATCCATTTAAATTTAAATTTAAGTGTGTCTTTTGCAATGAGTTTTGGTTGTGTAAGATGCTTTGATTGCACTTTTAAGTGATCTAATTTGTTTTTCCTGTTTTGTGTGTTTGTGTACTTCAATGTTTTCCTTCCCCATTTAAGCATTTTCCCTAAATTGGTCATTCAAATTCAAAGCCAGCAAGTAAACTTCCGTTAGGATATATTTCCTTTTCCTTAATTCTTTTCTTAGAAAGTTAATTTTTTTACATTTTTATTTTTTTACAACCTTATAATTTAATTTAGCTTGAGTTGGTGGACTCACTATTTGCTTGTTAAATTGACAGGTGGTTTCTGGGATATACTTGCTGTGATGCGTGTGGAAGATTATTTGCAAAGGGGAATTATTGTCCTGTTTGCTTGAAGGTATTGATTAATTTATTAAGGACACAGATATTTTTAATTAACTGGCACTATTTTCATTACATATGAGTGATCCGTTTCATTTTTTATTAATAGGAACCATAATGGCATATACCAATGTAATTTCAAATGGTGGATTATATTTGACGTTTAATTCAATATGTTATACTGTTTGCTCTCTCTCTCTCTCTCTCTCTCTCGGCAAAAATAATCCTGATATGTATATAGTATATGGTCATCCGACATGTTCTTATAAAAAAGATATAGTTGTCTGACATGCACACACAAATAAGGGAGGAGGTGGGGAGAGAGAATTCTTGACATTTCTGTTTATCCTATTTTGTAGGTTTATAGAGATTCAGAATCAACACCAATGGTTTGCTGTGATATTTGCCAGCGCTGGGTGCATTGCCAATGTGATGGAATCAGGTTCATTATTTTTATAGACCCATAATATTTCTGCTGAATTATCCTGCTTTTACATTTCCTGGTCCCAAAGAATAATTTTTTTTAATCAAAGAGGGTGGTTTTTACCATTTAACTTTGGGTCCCAATGTGAGCGTTTATATAATGAAATGTTTCCCAAATAGAACTTGTCATTTGGAGAAGAGTAATTCCATCTCTCCTTTAATCTCTCAAATGTGTTTAATTAGCCATTATGGTCTGGCCAGCAGACCAATCAATCTAATTAACCTCCCTGCATGCATACAGAACTTTCCTAGTAAGCCTCCCTTCCCGTATAGTGATTCATTATAAATAATGCAACCCTATCTTTCGACTTCAAAATTGGTGAATAATACATGCTTATTTCTGAAAGGGATTGTTTATTTGTTCAGTGACGAGAGATATCAGCAGTATCAGTTAGATGGAAATCTCCAGTACAAATGTGCCACGTGTCGTGGAGAGTGCTACCAGGTTTGCAAAGATAAATAGAAATCTGTGTCTTCCTTTCCTTTTGCTCTAAGTTAATTAGTTCGTGGTCGTCTTGATTTCTAATTTGATTATTTCCTATTTTGGAATTTCTTTTCCAGGTCAAGAATAATGAGGATGCTGTGAAAGAGCTTTGGAGGAGAAAAGACGCTGCTGATAAAGATTTAATTTATAGTTTGAGGGCTGCCGCTGGGCTGCCAACTCAAGAAGAAATATTTTCTATTTCACCCTTCTCTGAGGATGAAGAAAATGGCCCTCAAATATTAAAGAATGAACTTGGGCGTCAATTAAAATTATCTGTCAAAGGGTTAGTTGATAAGTCACCAAAAAAGACCAAGGACAGCGGAAAGAAATCTTTAAATAAAGTGTCTGCTAAGAAGAAGGAACAACAGGATTTCTTAATTGGTACAACCGAAGTGAACCAGAGTTTTGGTGGACATGATGATTCACAGTCATTTGGATCTAGCTTGGGCTATGACAAGAATGATGAGATGCAGTCCTACAAAAATGCAGAACCAGACGTATATTTTCACCCGTCGCTGGAAGTATGGGCCACACCAAAGAGATTTGTTCTGTCAACGAGCCAGGTGTTTTGAAGCACAAGTTTGTTGATGAAGTGATGGTGAGTGATGAAGATAGGAGTTCCAAGGCCGTTCGTATCAAGGGTAAGTCTCATGGTCTTGATAGCGGAGAGGATACTGCAAAGCATGCTGGAAAGTCAAAGCCTGTGAAAGGGAAGAAGTTAGTTATAAATTTTGGTGCACGGAAGATAAATATAACTAAGTCTCCAAGGTCTGATGTTTCAACTGGTCAAAGAGAACAAGATGTGGTGACCTCGAATGGTATGTCATTTATGTGATGTGTTCTACTTTGCTATTCTTATTTTTAGCATTATCATCAGGAAGATTTAAAAAAAAAGAGTTTAGTTTATTGAAGTGGATAAATAAGTTTTTCACTTATGTGTTGAGAAAGTTTCAGAAAATTGTAGGTTTACATGCAACGAACTTTTTTCAGACATACATAGCTTAATATGATGTGTGATTGTAGGCTTATATTTATGGTACAATGTTTGAGGAATATGCAACGTTGCTGCGTTTTGCAACTCTGTTGCTTGAGCTTGAGAGGAATAGCTTTGAGTGTTCCCTAAGTCACATTTAATTAGCATTTATTGGTCAGTAAGTTACCTCATCTGCACCCTGTTGGACCCTCACTATCTCTCATTCAGTGTTCGAAAAGGTCGAGTGGGTTGTTTGTGTTTTTTATACCCACACACTGAGAAAGGGGTGGAAGGTATACCTGTCCACCTTGCCGGTATCTTGGCGATGTCTCAATGAAATGGTGGAAATTTGGGGTGTAAACCTTCATTTCCTTGATGTACTTTGAAAGCCCACTGGGATTTTGGTGGAGCTGTTGGAAGGTCCCAACAAACATTATTCTCTTCCACTAACTGCAATACTTTTAGAGTAGAGAGAGCATCACTTATATTTTGAGGGCCAAAAACCGATGATAGGATTAGCTGCTTATGGTGGCTATAGCCAAAAAACTTAAATGAATTAATAGAAATAGAAAATTCTCCAAGAATGAAGAAGAAGAAACAAACAAGTTAAAGAAAAAATTGATAAATAGTTTCTCTTTATACCTAGTGTTAGGCTCGTAGCTTTCATGCTATTTTGTAAGCTTTTAACACTCTGCTCTCTTTCTCTCTCTCTCTCTCTCTCTCTCACTCTCTGTGTGTGTCTCTATATATGTATTGTATATATACACACACATATATGACCTCAGTTCCTATTCATGGGCAGGCAGTGAAGATGTGAGCCAGCAGAAGGCAAGTCGTATGGTGGATAGACATGATGGTTCTGCTAATATCGGTGATGCTAAAGGTACTAGGAGTGCAATCCATTATTATACTGGAAAAGTTTGATCCTTCCCATTGATTAGTAATTTGGTTAAATTTGATGTTTTCTCACGTTATGCAACTGAAATTTTCATGATGTTCTGTGTGTAGACAGAAGCGATTATTCTGGCCATTTGAAAGGTTCAAAGGTTGCTGGAAGAGAAGGAAATTTTATAAAGTTGGGAAAAGTTAGGTCAGGAGCTTCTGATTCTAACCCTAAATTTGCTAGAGGAGATAAGGTTGATGGATACGAAGCCGTTCCTCCAGAGCCAGTACATGGTTCGTCCGGAAAAAGCATTGAAGGGGGCACGACCGCAGTTGTGCCTGTAGGTGAAGTCCCGACTATGAGAAACGAGAGGGTATACTCCCGCAAGCAATCACAAAGCAGGTCTAATATACGTACTGAAAGCAATGATGATCCCGGTCAGACACCTGTTTCACATTCGCCGGCCAAGGATACAAAACCTTTATTGAAGTTTAAGCTTAAGAAACCTAATCTCGAAAATCAGAGTTCTTCCTATCAGGAGGAAGAAAAAAGTTACGTTAAGGGCCAACGGTCAAAAAGAAAGAGACCGTCACCGTTTATGGAGAAAACGTCATTTAGTGAGAATGATGACAAGACACAATCAGTTCAAGATAATCTAATGGATGAGATCATGGATGCTAATTGGATTTTGAAAAAGTTGGGCAGAGATGCAATTGGAAAGCGAGTTGAAGTTCAGCAGCTATCTGACAATTCATGGTAGGTTTGTTGCTTTATATATATTGCATCTCTTATATGGCAAAATTGATTGTTTAGATAAAATACGTCACTTGATCCGTTGTGTGCAAGTTTTACTCATTAAATGTTTAAGTAGAATTCATGATGCTGTTGTATATGCTGTTCTATTCTTGAAAGAGGATGTGGTCACTTAGAAGGATGATGATTGGTCATGATTTTTTTACAATATCTTGCCTTGTATTTGCAAGAAACCAAAAGTTGCTTACAATATAAGCTAACATATGAAATGTGTTTGGAGTTGTGATGTCAACAATTTGTTCGTGAAGATGAATGTCGTTCATATCTCTGTTAGATGCTTCTTTCTCATGGATATGTGGCTGTCGATGGTGCTAAGTTACTTTAGTAGGAGCATTTTCCTGTATCCTTTATGTGTTAAGGGTTTAGGTGCCGGTTTTGGTGCATTCATTTTGTGCTGATTTATTTATTTTCCCACCTGTTTTATCCAGGCACAAGGGAGTGGTTACTGACATAATCGACGGCACATCAACGCTATCTGTTACTCAGGATGATGGCAAAGTCAAATCTCTGGAACTCGGGAAGCAAGGGGTTCGTTTTGTATCTCAAAAGCAGAAGAGGTCGAGAACATGAAGTCTGTCCCATTTCTTGTGTGTGATTTATCTTATCTGGAGACTTTCTTCTCCATTAAGATGGAGAGAAAATTCTCTGTTTCCAAAGGCCTGAAAACATATGTTGTAGCATTTCTGGTGGCTGGTACTTATGCTCATTCGTTTCACTTCACTCTTTCGAGAGTTGTATGTGGGGCTTTTCAGTCTTCCTTGAAGAATTTGCTCTGGTCGACTAGGGTAGAGTTCCAAGGTAGGCAGGCAAGCAAAGCTTTTTCTTTCGACAGCTACCTCATTCTCTGGATGTATGTAGATAGATATTTTTTTGTTTTTGGGTACTCAGAATTGATAATTTAGAATTTGCTGTAACAGGATAGGAATGAACAGCGTGAAATTATTGGGTGCTGTTTTTATTCAGGCTGGCTAGATACAGTATCCGAGCCTTTACAAATTAATGGAATTGAACATGTTGAAGTTATGTTACTGTATATAATCTCTCATCTCTCGGAAAAGGCAAAAATAAAATAAAATAAAAGAACTATTTTTGATAACTGGGAAAAAAAAACTAATTTTATTAATAATTTTTGAATAAACAATATTGAGGCATGCAGTATGCCTGGAACTTAATCAAAGTGGCATGATGGCGGACGGATTTTCAATAATTCCAGCAGCAAGTTTGCATTATTGAAGAGAAAGGTGAAGCCATTTTCACAACCCTCGATGATATCACCCTTTTGTAAAATGCTACAGAAAAAAAAATGGTTTGGTGTCGTTTGTTATGAATTGTTAACTAAAATTTAGATTCAAGTCCCTCATTTTAGATCATTCCATCCACACGGAGTAATGGACTTAAGCATCTCAAAGAGGCTCCCAAGAGAAGCTCCCTAGCTGGAATAGAGAACGCATAAGCAAAAATCAAGCTTCAGCAGACACCGCATCCTACTCTTCTCTCTAGTCTAGAAAATCATTTTTTCACCACCTGCACGTGGAGAGTGGAAGTGATGAATAAAGGCTTCATATCTATATTTTTATACTTTTACAAGCACAATTAAGTGTTTAATCTAATTGCCAATGAGGTCTAGCCTAGTGAAAAAGGGCATTGACTTGCAGACCAGAAGTCTTAGGTTCGAATCTCAATAGCAGTGAGCTTTTTAATGTAGTTGGGTGACCGGTTGGCACCCATCTAGTGAGCGGTAAGTTTTTGCACGAATTTATTTAATCTTATAAAATATATTGTGTTTGGAAAACAAATGTAAAACTACTATATTTAAGCCTTCTTCCCACCCACCCCAACCCCCCCAAAAAAATTATTTAATCATTTAAAACATATATTGGGTTTGGAAAACAAATGTAAAGAAAATCTACTAAATTGAAGCCTTCTCGCCCCAACAAAACAACTACTCATCAATACTTGTCAAAATTTCATTCCAATATGAACACAGTTTTGGAGTGGGGGGACTAATTTGTTTCTAGGTTTCTAAAGTTCCCGGAAGTTGATATTTCCGTAAACTTCAGTTTCAATATTTTCATACTTTGACCATTATACAACAGAAAATATGACTATAAGTTCATTAAATTACATAACAGACAACGACAACTCTCCAGAGCTTATAAAAATACAATACGGCCGGCAGCACACTCATGCATACATACGCAAGAAATATTATTAAACATGTAATCAGCAGGAGTCTTCTTCGTAATTTCTTGTTAACTTCGAAACAATTCATGAGCGAATGCGCCTGATAGCGTCCTTCGTAGCTGCCGACGTTAACGACAAGTTTCACAAATTATGCAGGCATGTAAGGGCAAAACATACGTAATTGTACAGTAAATTACATTGCATATTTAAATGACATTTAAAGTAATATATATTATCCCAAACATAAAAAAGTAATATATATTAATATATACAGACGCATATTCTTATAACACCTGTAACCCAAATAATATTATTGACTTTATAATAACTAGACTTCGCATGTGCTTATGCGCCTGTGAAAGGCTTTTTTTTATAAAAAAATTATTTTATTTTAGAATTAAAAAAGATAATGGGTAGTTGTGTTCCATAAAAATATGATCCATTATTTGATTTTTCTTTTAATTTTAATTTTTTTTAAAATATGAAAAAGTGTGAATTTACCATATTATCCTCATTTAATTAATAAATTCAATTCTTGATATTTGCATTAACTAATGATATTTTCTGGTATTTTGAATGTTTTACCATTCTCTGCCTTTTGCTTTATATATATATAGATTTAAAAAAAAACAACAATATAACCCTTTGACGAGAGAAAGAGGCAGTGTTTCATTTTCTTCATGTTGAAGAAGTGCACCCTCTAATTAATTTATAATATAACTTTTATTTTAAATACTAAACTCATAGTGAATTTCTACTATGATGGCTGATGGCCGTGACCTTCGAAAATCATTTCTGCGAACCAAACGGAGCTTTAATGTGCAATTTTGGAGAACTGTGTATGATTGACTGGAATATGATAATGATCACCTGATATTACTTGTTTATGTATATTATATGTATAGTGTTGATTATATGTGTATTATTTACATCAAGTAGCAGTTATATAAAGTGTAAAACTTACTCGTGGGCGGCAAAACAAATAGTATTGCACTGGATACTGGAAGTTCCATAATTGACTTTTAAATATTAGGGCTTTTTAGATCTAGTTTTAAAATGATTAGTTGTTATTAGGTCAAGTCCTCGTCGTTTTGGTTTTAGATGTAGGTCCTTTGACTTTTATTACTTTTTTTGTTGTATCGATTTTACCCTTTTAGGTAAATAAGGAAACACATTGAAAATCCAATTTAATGCATTATTTCATTGTAATTGAATTTTAAAATAATTTGAATTCTTTCCTCTGTGAATATTTACCTAATATATGGATAAAAATACAATTTAATCAATTAAAGTAAAGACCCACATATTATACTAATCGATGAAATAAGCACCCACATGAAATTATATACCTATGCATTAGGTAAACACCCAAATATTGAAAACACAATATGTTATACTTATCAAGTTGATTAGTGGTGTTTAAGCATAGCAACAAATAAAAAATTTGAGAAAAACAACATGGTTGGTGGTATACACGTACTTTCATTTCCTTTTATTGGTTTCTGGAGGTCTTTTTCCTTCATCAGTCTAACAGAGCAATTCGTGTATTTTTTTCTATCGAAGACAAACCTCAGCAGGACAACAGCACTGTACAGTCACGGATCGCTCTCTCCTCTTTCCGTCTGCTGGTCATGTAGTGCAGGAGGTCGATTGTCGGAAACGACACATTTCCAGGTATGCGTTATTCCTCTGCAATCATCATCACAGGAAGAGCTAGCTAGCCTTTCATTTAGCTGGTATTTCCTCTGTGATTATCAATCATGTTTTCTTCTGAAAATGTAACCGCACAATAGGAGAATCCTCATAGTTGGATACATATGATTTTTCACTTGTTTTACTGGGTGTTTATCTCAAAAGTTCTAGATATAGTTCATACTATATCTAGAGTCCCCTTCTATATGCAGGAAATATTTTCGGGTTATCTTCTGGGATCACTCTCCACTATTTTTAATGATCTGCACCATTTATTTTTCAAGTATTCATTCATAAATCGTCATTGAAAAACAATAGACAAATCACAAATCATTAAGACATCTAGTTACGATGTAATAAATATACGAAAATGTACTTTTTAAGAAACACTAAAATGAGTACCTTCTATCGGGAGCCTCTCAATAACATTCAAGATTTTTTAGGCCAGAAGTCACTTTTGGTCCCTGTAGTTTGGCATTTCAACCACTTTTTGACTCTATAGTTTCAATTTCATCAATTTTGATCATGTAGTTTCATATTTGTAGCAATTGAAGGACAAGTTAGTATTCTTGTCAATTTCTTTAACGATGCAAGGGGCAATTTCGTCAACCCAAAGCCTTGAGCGTAAAAAATTATTTGAAATTCTCCCCATTTAATATTAAGGCTCGAAATTCAACCACTAATCCTAATTTTTGAAGAACCCTAAACCCAAATGACCAATTTCAAGCTCTAATATGAAATTAGGGGATATTCAGACGAGATTTTATGCTAAAGGATTTTGGATTGACGAAATTGCCCCTTGCATCGTCAAAGAAATTGAAAAGAATACTAATTTGTTCTTGAATTGCTACAAATATGAAACCACATGGTCAAAATTGACGGAATTGAAATTATATGGTCAAAAGTGGTTGAAGAGCCAAACTACAAGGATCAAAAGTGATTTTAGCTGATTTTTTTATAACAGATACTTTTGTAGTTCCTTATTATCTTTAATCCATCGTTTTTTTAAATCGACAAATGATAAGATAAATAGAGGGAGGGGCTGGTGTGGTGTTTTGTTTGCTTTTGTTGATGCTGGTTCTGCTCTCGAGGCTTTTTGCCTCCTTGTTTTGGTTGGTTTCCATTTTTTTATTTTTATTTGTTTTTGTTGGATGGTTGGCTGGAATGCAATGATCTTTAGCCCTAGAAAAAATGAAAAAAATAAAAAGGGAAAGGGACCGACATAAGCGACGAAGGTGATGGGGTGGCAGCTGTCGAGTGGGTGGGTATTCTTTTTCAATTTTATTTGTTTTGTTTCTAATGGGAGGTAAAAATTAGGGCATTCTGGGAAACAAAATTGAGTAGGTGGTTTCAGGAGATTGGAAACCATTTATACATATAAATATATCTCTCCCTTGACTGCATAGAGCAAACCAGTCGCCTTCTCCATAAAACAACCACAATAGAACCCAACATACCTAAGAATCCTTGGTGGTGATAATATGTAAATTATTGTGTATTCAATTTTAGGTATTGGCATTGAATTCCACAAAACTTTTTTGACAAATAAATCACAAAAAATAGGAGGTATTTTGAATTGCCCACAAAATCTGACCAATCAAGTTTTGAAATTTGTTTAGGGATTTGACCCACAACAAAATAAATGTGATGGAGTGAAAGAAAGTAAGGAAATTGAGTACAGTTTCAAAAAGATAAAAAGACCCTAAGGGCATGTTTTGTATTCAACTTGAATTCAATTTTTTAAACTCAAAAACAGAATTTGAGTCCAAAACAAAAAAAAACATGTTTGATAGCCCTATTTTTAAAAACTCAAACTCAAGAACAATTAATAAACACCCCAATTATTAAAAACAAAAAAATATATATTTTCTCAGTTTTTTTTCTAACAACTCACAAGTTCTCAAAATTTTAAGATTTAAAAACAGTTTTCAAGTTGCATACCAAACAACTTTTTGAATCTTAAAAATAGATTTAAGAACTCCTTGTTTTTAGAGAAATAAAAGTTTTTGAGTTCCCTATTTGAATAGGATACCAAACTCCCCTTAATTTTATGCAGTCTAAATTTACTAGACGATAATTTAAACTACTCTAAAGAAGATGAATCATACAAAGAAATACCTACCTTACAAAGAAAAACCTTATAAAAAGCGATTAGATAAATCATATTTTCTAATCATATTAGCGAACCACGTTACCTAATTCTCCTGATAGTTTATATTCAATTCATTGTTCCTATCAACACGGGTCTTGTCTTTTAATAAGTAGGTGTAACGTGTACCCTAAGTAAACCAATATTTTATATGAACATGAGATGCTCTTACACATAAGCAGCCGAATAAAACCGACACGAATTAGTATATCTTAGAAGAGTGGTTATCATGAAAGGAGTAATTACTATATTATAATTAGAAAAGTGGCATTATCGTATTAAAGCATGGCATATATTTCTAGCTATTAGACACCTAAAATATTTTTAGCCATCTCATTTTGTGCCACGAATGTATTTTCTTGTAATATATATAACTTGAGAAATATAAAGGGCTAGTAGTTACTGATCCTGACTCGTTTACTAATGCACCATATTGCTTAAAAAGTTGTACATAAATGGTTTAGATTCAAAGTGTAATATCGTAAACATCGTACGTATGTGTTGTCACATTGACACAAAACTTAATGTGATCAGTGATATAAATTTGTAGTCTGAAAATGAAGTATTTCCTTACGTCTAAAAAGTTGTAAGACTTCCTTTCCTTTTTGTCCACGCAAAATTTAAATAAAAATTATTAAGAGGTCTTAGAAGGTTCCATCAATATCTATAAATAAATGAAATATATATGCAATTTGAACTCAGCAATCTAACTTGTTTCTTGAATGGCAGGTATAGTATCCGACGAAATGGTGGCAGAAGATTTCAGCTCAACACCTTGCCCGCTGTCAAAGGAATCACATCATGAAAAAATTATATTACAAACAGGCGATGCACATGGAGTCTGTGATGAAGATTCTACCTCGCCCGCTTGGCAGCCGGTGTCAGCTTCTTTTAAAACACCATCTCTTGATGCACTGGAAGATTCACGTAAGATCTCTCTCTTTAAAAACTATTCCGAGTAATTAAAATAATCGTTTCTTGCATTGTTGTACAACCAATGCGGTGGAACAATTTTGCATCTTAATACGAGTGTTTAGTGTTCTATTCTGTTCATAGAATTTTGCACAGAAATAAGTAATCTGTCTACTGCAAAAGAACACATTAATTAAATTTTATTTTCATGGCCGTTTAGTTTATGTTCAACTACAACCAACTAGTGGAAGTGTTCTTGTGTTACATATTATATAACCATGTGTTATCAAATCTTTCAGCCAATGCAAAACAAAAATACTTCAAAAAATGCGTGCCCCTATACAAGGCTGCGGTAGAAGGTGACTGGGAAGCGGCTAGTAGAATCATGATTGAAGATGAAACTCTTTTACGTGCATCTATCACGAAAGGATGGCAGACTGTTCTTCATGTTGCCGCAGGAGCAAAACATGTTCACTTTGTGAAGGAGTTGCTGAAACAGTTGGACAAACGCGACCTAGAATTACAAGATCAAAAGGGCAATACAGCCTTATATCATGCTGTTGCAGCTGGAACCCTACCAGTGGCTAAGATTTTGATGCAAAAGAATCCAAGGCTGCTAGAAATTCGGGGAGGTCAAGGATTGTCACCGCTCTATTATGCTGCTTTGTTTGGACATGGCAAGATGTCTTTGTATCTCTACCCTGAACTCATAAAACTTGTTAGTGAGGCGGAAAGAGCTGGGATATTTTTCAGCTGCATTAACAACGGTTTATATGGTAAGCATGTTAACATGTCTATTAACAATTGATTTTGTTATCGATGACAATTACTACGTATGACCCCTTATTGGATACATGTCCTTAAGATATATATAGGCCAAATACATGCAATCATCGGCAAACTACTATGTAGACAAGAAAAACAATCTTTTGAGGTCATTCAGAGAATTGCCGACGGAATTTCAAAATGTGGTGGCCGAAAGTTTCTTCAGCTTTTGGAATATATTAAGTAAACTGTGTACAGATAATTAGGAATCTTCATTTCCAATTAACAGTGTTACTGTTTTTTTACTATGCAGAACTAGCATTGAAAATGCTTAAAGACTATCCGGAGCTTGCAGTGGTTCGCAACGCGAATGGTGAGACAGCATTGCATTTGTTGGCTCAGAAGCCTTCGGCATTCGCCATCAAAACTTCAAGAATATTGAAAAACTTCCTTTATTCTTGTAATTCTCTCACTCATTGCACCTCTTTACTACTCTTAGCATGCCTTTAATCAATAAGGGTGATAGCCCGAGTTTTGTCTTATCATGTTTATCTCATACCATTTCATATTCATGTAGAATACTAATAAACTCTAACATGTTTAATTAGTGATGCTAGGGGAATTACGCTAACCTAATTGAATTTATCATGTTGACTAGCATATGTATTTTGGTCAACTAGAAACTTAGGGCTAATCCCTTGTTTTGGAAACCAAACCTATCACTCATGCTCATCCTGCTTATTGCCAGCAAAACCACAAGACCATTTATTCAATAACAAAGTCATATTCTCTTCGTATGGTTTCTGGTTTTTCCTATCAGCCTTCCATTATATAGTTGAATGAGTCTGTGACAAAATAGAGTTATTTGTGTTTCACGTTATCACAACCTTTTTGTTATTCATGTTTGAAAAATTAAGGTTAGCATCAATATTCCTAGGTTGTACGTATAAGTTGTTTAGATATATATTGTGATGCAAGTTTGAAAGTTGACAAACCCCCATAATTAAAGGGAAAACAGTAGAGAAATTGAAGCTTATACAATTACATTTAACTTTGACAAGTTAGACAATAAGAAGGAATATTCATTTTCATAAGTTCACCATACCTACGTTCATACTCAAACAAAAAATCTAGTTTGCTTTCGACTTGTTCCAGGTACAAACAAGAGAAACTTGACAAGAACGCCCTGCTGTCAATTACTGAAATGTCTTTGGGAAGAAGTTTTATGGCAAAATGACTCGACTGTTATCGACGTTATAAGAAGGCCTTCACATGTACTATTTATCGCAACAAAGCTGGGAAACTTTAAGTTCGTGGCTGAGCTTATTGGCTCTTATCCTGATTTGATATGGGAAACAGATGACAGCAATCAGAGTTTATTCCACATCGCAGTCGCATACCATCAGGCAAGCATATTCAGTCAGGCACAAAAGCTGGGTTTAAATAAGAATATCGTGCTCTCGTTTAAAGATGATAAGAACAACAACATACTACATTTAGCGGCGAAGTTAGCTCCATCAAATCAATTAAATACCGGGTCAAGATCTACCATTCAAATGAAACGAGACTTATCATGGTTTAAGGTAACCCGTCTCTCCCTCCCTTTAAAAAAAATAATGTAGGAAATTTTTATTTTTTATTTTTTATATTACAGTATGTGTATGTATGTGTTTGTTTATGTATATATGTATGTGTTTGTTTATTATGTATGTATGTCTATGTATGTGTTTGTATATATATATATATATATATATATATATATATATATATTTATTCTCTTATCCGGATATGTCCGCATGTTATTATCGCGCGGATGCTAACAGGCAGGAAAGCAGGAAGGGGTAATACAAAATACATGGCGTCCGCACGATAATAACGCTCAGATGTCCGCATATGACAATTTATGTATATATATATATATATATGTACGCTTATTTGGACGCATATGTTAAAGTTTAATCCGGATGAAAAAGATGGTCGACTAGTACAAAGACAGGTTCCTCCCTTAAATTTTAGCTTGTAACTCTTGAGTTTTGGGTTGAATGATACATAAGAGATAGAATGTATAAGTGAGTAAGGCGCATGTGTAAATGCTCTTAACTACTTGAGTTATAAGTTCGTTACAATCTTTTTTATTTGTGAGATAAAAACATTGATATTTATATATTGTAAACAAATAAGTTGTTAGGTTAGTTTTTCATGTTTGCTAGTTCCACATGTAATGAATCATATTATTGATCACCAGGAAGTGAAAAAGTTTGTTCCACCATCCTACCAAGAGATGAAAATTCAGAGGGCAAAACACCAAAGGATATATTTATCGAAGAACATAATGAACGGGGTCTAGCTCAATGAAAATAGTCTTGATTTGCAGATTAGAGGTCTCAAGTTCGAATCTTCATGGCACTTTGATAGTGTGTATGTGTGTGTGTGAAACCTCATTCCCTCTTGTAGTTTAAACTATCTCTTGTGGTTATAGCCCATGTAACCCAAGTAGGTTCCACGTGAAGCAAAGACATCTCCCATTCACTCGTTGAGAATGCATGGCTGGGGAGCTGCTCGCCAACATTTGCAATAGTGTGGAGACTAGCTAAGCAACAAATGTTTTTATTATTATTTTTTATTTTAGGGTTAATTACAGTTTAATACCCTGTGGTTACACCCTTAAGACATGTTAGTTTCTACTGTCTTAATTTTTACAATAACATACCCCTATCTTTTAAATTTGTTACAATGTGTTTCCACAATTACAGTGTGTTTGGATAAGGGAAATAAACTTGGGATTTTGATAAAAGTCGGAATTTCCAAATTGACATGAACCAATTCCCGTGTTTGGATACAAAAACATAAAAATTTAGAAATTCCGTGTGGGAAAAAATATGGAATTTGGATATCATAAATCCCAACTTTAAATTCTATCTAAAAGTCGTCATTTCTAAAATCCCAAGAGATATTGAGTTTTTAGAAAAGATAGCTTTACAAATAAAGGTTAAATTCCGTATTTTAAATCCGTCATCCAAATAAGAAACTTTATAAATTCTAAAACATTAATTTCGGTCATTTTAAATTCCATCATTTATGAAATCCCTTGTACTTTGAAATTTCCTCATCCAAACGCACTGTTAAGGTTTCTGTTAGATCTCTCCGTTAATTGCCTACGTGGCAGTATGAGTCTCATATTAAAATATTAAAAACAAAAAAGGGATAAATAAACTCTCTCTCTCTCTCTCTCTCTCTCTCTCTCTCTCTCTCTATATGCTCTCCTTCTATCCCGCAACCATCCAATGCCCCCCTCTTCGATTTTCTTTTCCCCCATTCCCAATGACCATCACCCTCCAACCCCCAATGAACCCAAAACCCCAACCCACCCCCTACCCCCACCCCCCTTGGTGCCCGATTTCTTCTTCCCCTTATCCCAACCCAAACTCCAGTTCCCTCCCACCAACCACAGCTCGCCAAGAGAGTTGTAGAAGCACTCGGTGTCTTCTTCTTCTTCCCCTCGGGCTTTGCTCATCGTTTACTGGGCATTCCCATTTGGTAATGAAAATGCACAATAAATTTTGCCGATGTCGTTCAGATCTAACCCGGGTGGGCCTAAATAGTGTGGTTTGATGATGGGTTGGAAAATTGGCCAATTTTTTTGTTGGGTTCAGAGAGAGTGGGGTGGGAATTTGATGTGATCAGACAAGAAACGAGTGTGGAAGTGTGTGTGTTTCAGGTTGCGAATGAGATCCAATAATAGGCACAAAGAGAGAGAGAGCGCAGGGACAAAGCTCTATGTTGTTTGGGGTTATTTGGGTTGGGGCTTGAGCAATATTGTTGTTGTTAGAGAGAGAGAGAGAGAGAGAGAGAGAGAGAGAGAGAGAGAGAGTGGTTGGCAAGTTGTGGTTGGTGGGTGGGGACTGGATATGGGGTCGGGGTAGAGAAAGAAGAAAATCGAGAGAGGAGAGGGGGGTGGGGGGGGAGAGGAAGGGGTCTAGGTGGTTGCTGGGTTCGTGGGGGTTGGAGGGTGGTGGTCATTGGGGAATGAGGGAAGAGAAAATCGGAGAGGGCGGGGGGTGCTAGTGGTTGTGGGATAGAAGGGGGGAGAGAGAGAGAGTTAAATTTTTTTTTGGTTTTTAATATTTTAATTAATTTAATATTTTTTTTAAAATATGAGACCCATTGTGCCACGTAGGCAACTAACAGAGAGATGTGACGGAAACCCTACTAGTGGAATCCCATTGTAACAAATTTAAAAGAACGGGGTATGTTATTGTAAAAATTGAGAAGATATGGACTAATATGTCTTAAGGGTGTAACCACACGAGTAATTTTTTGGTGTTCTGGGTACACCACGTGGCTGGTGTACCATCCAATAGACAGAAGACATATGAAATATTTGCAATGTAGTCCGCCACATGTTATAAAAAGAAATGCAGTAAGTTAGACAATAATTCCACATGTCCTATGTTTATTGGATGGTACACCAGCCACGTGGTGTACCCGGAATATATAAAAATTTCTCGTAACGACATGGTACTAAAGTGTATTTAACCTTTTTTTTATATATGTTATCCTTATTTTATCAATGACTATAAAGAATGCTCTTTTGTTTTTTTGTTTTTGAAAAAAAAGAAATAAAATTACAATGAGATTCTATAAGGATCCCTAAATTTCGGTTATCGTACATGAGTTTCAAGAAAACTAGATGCAGGAAGTTTGTAAACCAAATACAAGTGTGAGAGCATCTCCAACAGCATCTTCAACAACTTTGGAATTCTAAAATATGTGAGCCACATAAAAAAAAACTCTCTCCAATAGTCTCTTCAACCTCAGTCATCAAAGCTGCAACATCTTTCTTTTTCTTTAGGACTGGTAAGTTGACTTTGGCTCTTAAAACATTTAATTTTACTTCGGAAAAACAAAACATACATTGAAAATGTTGAAGCCATGCATTTTTTATTTTCATATAACAATTACATTTTTCACATTTTTTCATTTTTTTTTCATGATGTTGCATTAATTGAATTGAAGAGTTTGTTGGAGCTAAAATTATTCAAGTAGAAAATAAACATTTTCAAATCACCACATAAGTCAACAAACTTTAATTTGAAGAATTTAATTTGCTACTACTCTTGGAGATGCTCTTAGTGCAGCCGTTTGGCATGAGCACATTGAGCTACGACCCCTTTAAACACCAACGTACATTAATAAAATGTTGTAGCCTAATAATGGTATATTAATTTACTAACATTTATATTGACTTTCCATTTTTCTTTTAGTGCAAAATGGAGAAATTATAGAGTGATACGGTATCACCACGTCAGTTGGTGATACTCCTACTCAAAATCTGCCATCTGCCTTTTTTGAAAGAGTAATGCTACACTTACCACATTTTTATCCCACATTTCTATACCACATGATGTGGCATGTTCATATTATATGTCACATCAATTAAATCAATGAAGTATGTTTTAATTAAGACAATTAGAAAAACAAATACTGGAATAAATCATAAAAGAAAAGAAAATATTAAATAATTTTAATTGACGTGGCTGTCCACCTTAGCTGCCACATAAGATGGTATAAGAATGTGGTATACAAATGTGGTAAGAGTAGCATTATTTAGAAAATTAAATTTTTTTTCACTGTTGGACTTTGTCTTCCAACTTTACCCTAAATAAAATAAAATAAAATTTGAAAAAACAGGAAAAAGAAAACAAGAAGAGTGTAACAGTTTCCTCTATCGGCAATCTGCCTACCTTGCACTGCCGCCCCTTGGCTGCAATTCCCCTCTAATAATATCAACATCAAACATACCCTTCTTTCACTAGTGGGTTGTCGTCATGGGAGATTTTGAAGATTTTTGTTTTATGTTTAACGGGTTTGCATTGATTTTCAAGATTTCTGGGTTTTCTAAATACTTTTAACTTTTTACTAAGAATGGGAGGCACGGAAAGCCCAGTGGGTGGCGAGGGAGGAGGGAAGACGACTGGGTGGCGAGGGAGATGCAAAGATGGCTAGGTGGCGTGATAGCACAAGGAAGACGAAGGAGAGGGGTTAGGGTATATTAATGTTGAAGGGTAAACTTGTAAGACAAAGTCCATGTGTAAATTATTTTTAATTTTCTTTTCAAAAAGGACACGTGTCAGATTTTGAGTGGGAGTATCACCAGCTGATGTGGTGATACTGTATCACTCTATAATTTCTCCAAAAAAAGAAAGCTATCATTTAAGAGGGCCCCATAATAAATATAATTTATTGATGTAAGTTTATTATATTGATAATATATCCCAATTGCTTTGGCTTTTCCTATATTAATTAATAGGATAATATTAATGTTGGTTTTCCTATTTTGTATATTACATTTTTTTCTTGATTATGATAATTAGTAATTTGACGATCACAAGATTTTGATTATATAGTTTGATTATTTTTTATAATTTTTCGTTGAAGACTTTATTTTAAGAGACCATATTATTCTTTTGGCACATGACCTGTAAAATCTCAAAGCTTTAGCATGACCTAATTGTAGCCATATCGCCAACGACCATATTAGATTCACGATAGATGTGTCACACTTGAAGAATCTGAAAGCTTCGCAATAGTCCCTTAGTATCTTTCACTATTGATAGAAGACTCCAAGGAGGGGGTTGAGAGCCAAGTATTGTATCCCCAAGAAGCATATATGAAAAGTTCTGAACACAAAGAAGCAACTAAACGTACTAAAAGAAAAATGATTTTGAAATCGAAATATCAATGATGGAAATACTAAAGCATTAAGCAAAACATGTTTCATGCTCTTTAATTTAAATTATAACTCAATTAAAATTTTCATATAGAAACTTTAACTAGAAGATGAAGAAATTAAAACAAATTTAATTTTTCAATGTTATCTTTTATCAATGGTTGTTCAGAAAAATGAATTGCTCAATATCAGTTCTTTAAAAATAAAAGAATGCTAAGTCAATTATTAGTAATGAGAAATATACAATTGAACTCATGAAAAGATAATAACACTTAATGATGTAGATTTTCAAACACCTAAAAAATATATTCAAAAATCACAAATTAAATTACTTGCAAGCACATGAATCAACAACAATATAGAGATATGCAAGTATGAGTTCAAACCACCCACAAGGATTGATCAAAGCAACTTAATTTATTAAATTGCACGAAACTTAATTAAACAAATGATTGATTGAGTGATTGATAAAATAAAACTTAAATTGCAAGAATTAAAAGAAAAACAAATAAAGCATACAAGAATTAAAGGGGATGAAAAACAATTTATAAAAGCACTAGGACACCGAATCCGCCACTAATAATCCAATTTAGTCTCTTAATTACCTATCCATTAATTAATCCAATTGATGTTGTTGATTAGTTTTCCTTTTTCATGAATTATCTATGGTATTTAGGCTAACTCATATATTCCTACATGTAATTTGTCTAATCGTATTTAGTACAAATATAAAGACATAGAACTCTTTAAGCTTTGTGAAAACCTTTGATAACCCTACCTGGTGCCTCATCAATTGCAAGGGTTTGAAACCCGTTGGAAACACTTTATGGCCAGGGGCAAACCGAATCTCGAGCAGGGATTAACCCCACCCTTCAGGTGGGGGGACACCTAGTGGAATTTAACCAAAACAAAAAAAAAAAAAAAAAAAAAAAAAAACCATGTAAACCCCAAGAGTATGATATTTACCATAGAAGAATTACAATACATAATCACAAGAAGGAAGCCTCAAATTAGGTACGGTAATTACTCTAATTTGCATCAAATAACTCAATTAAAAACCGCGATGGTAGCTACGCATCAAGACATTCAATCAAGTTTATAAGCATGATGACTAAGAAGCCAACATTAAAATTTAATCAAATGATAGGCAAAATAAGAAACGTCATGAAAAGATAGAACCCGAAAAAACAATCCTAAGCTCCCCCTCGTCTCTTGAATTTTATTTGTGTGTATAAAAGGTTGTTGGTCATAGAGAGAGCTTAAGGTGGTCTTATATAGTATAAAATAACTAAACCTTACTCTAAAAAGGTTTGGAAAAACTCTTCTAAATGAAATCAAAATCCTAAACAATAAGGAAATAAGCTAGGAAAGAATCATTCTTTGACTTGGAAACACATCATCCAAATTGCACACATGTTTTGGGGTCGTTCCACTTCATAGAAAATTATAGAAAAAAGAAAATTGTAGCTTTATCTCTTAGCTTTCGAGACATATATTACACGCCACTAGGAAAAAATGGGAAAGTCTCCAACTCTTCAATCTCCATAGTGGCGCAGCTCTGACGGGATTTCAACTTAGGCTGTATTGACTTGACTTGCAATTATGGAACAATTGGCTTTATAGAAAATTTTGAAAATTTAACACAATGATCGCTAATGTCTTAGCTTTCTTCTCCAATTGGCCTTGCTCTAAAACTCCTATGAAAAGTTCATTTTTCTGTCAAAAACCTTTTTAGCGTGCAAAATAGCTGAAAATAAGGAAAGTAAAGTAATAAGACTCTTTTT